TTGACAAACTACAATAAGATGAGGCAGTTATAGAAGAAAGTTCTCCTTTTGACAACTCCAAACCTAAAAAAAAACTCACGCAGAACAACAACCTGTTTCAGCCAGCCACAAATTTACCTACTGAACTCGAGAAACTAATACTACGACAACAACTAACGGTACTTATATACCCTAATCTTAAACTTAAACTATAGTTTGCAGCATTCCAACTCGAACTAAAACTCAACTCAAGACATTATCTATAAGCATCGAACCGCATGGTTCCATCATTTGTTGATCGTTTTCCGTTTACATTTACATTTACACATTAATAAACCATTAACCATTAATCATTAACCATTAACCATTGAACGAACAGTAACGAAATTTGGTAGAGTTAATATATGTATATCCAACTAATGACGTAAAAAATTTGACAAATTATATATACACACACATATGCCTATATGTATACATACCTTTAAAGAGTATAAACAAGAAGAAGAAGAAGGAAAGAACAACAAATGAAAATGAGGAAAATCGCAGACTACTCAGTGCAACAGATAAGACTAGAAATTGATTACCTGAACCTTGAGAACAAAAGCTTGAGTTTTCTTTTACTTTTACTTTACACAAAACGAACAAGAGAAAGTTGATAGGAGCGAAACAGTTACACAAGCAATAACATCCGACAGAATCGAGATACTATATTGTATACTATACTTTACCCAGGACAACAAAACGGAATCAGCAATAAGTTCAAGAAATCAGCCAACAGATTTAAGTAATACCTAACAACTGACAGAATCAGAGAGAATCGGAAAACAGAGATACTATACTCGTAACTTTACCCAGGACAACAAAACGGAATCAGCAATACATTTTAGTATATCACTTACACGTACACACACATCTAGAATCCTTGCCAGAAATCCGAATAGTATAAAGTCCATACTTCCAATCTTCTCCTTTTTCAGCGAATATTTCAGGGATTACGAGAAAGATGAATTAGTGGAAAATTATGTCGGTTTCCTAAACGTTTCTAAATCGCTTTATTTGTCTTTTAATCTACATTTTAGAAAATCTACAGACCTACAAATCATTTACCTTTCTAAATTAAATTGTAAGTGAATTTCTTTAGCAAAATAAATCTTATAGTTTTCCTAAATAGCTTAGATCGCATTGTAGTTTAGCTATGTTTTTCCAATTCATTTTATAGCAATACTTATAAAATCAATTTTCTAATTTTCTGCAATCCAGGGCGGTTTTTATGCCGAGGACTTTTCACCCGGCTTTTTACTCGCTTCCCCTCCAACTTCTTTACATGGTTGTGAACGAATAAAGGGATAACAAATTAGACCAATTCCTCATTTTTTCATTCTGATCTCAGCCAACTCGGTCGCACTTAAAACAAACGTAGACACTCTAAACGAAAAAAACAAAAATTGTTAGGAACTTGATTCGTGTGCCCTCCTTTAATGTCTTGTACTTGTAACCAATGATCATAATTATACACATATATCGACTATATTTACAAGCAACAATAACCGAAACCAATTGTATTGTAGTGCTAAAATGGATGTGTAAGAGTGCGAAACAATTTTCCAGGACTAGGATATGTCTTAGATACTTTGCTCATTCGGTTCTAATTGCGTAAGTGTAGCAGAAACAAAATATTTAACGTAAAACTATAGCTAATTGTGTGTATTTACATATTAAAGTTTACAAACAGCAAGCGACAGATGGGAGAAGGGAGAGTTATGTCCTGTAGAGTTTTTGAAAGCGTTTTCGTATTCAAACCAACACAAATTATGGCCTAAATATGAAACTAGAACAAAATATATACCTATATGTATACATATGAATTGTACTTCAAATTATGTCTAAAGCAAGCAAGCAACAACAACAACAATTACAAGTGTCTGTATTTTTTTTAAGCAACCAAAAAAAAACCCCATTGCAATCAGGTACTGAAATCAAAATTTTTGTAAATTATATAAAACTAAATCTAAATCAAGGAAAAGGTTTTTGTCGAAGCGGTAAGACAAACTAGATGAACAGAAGATATTATATGTGGTTTTTAAGAACTAGAGGCAAACGGGGAGTGAATTTGGTGGATATATATAAATTCGATCCCCGATCGTTAACTCGAACATTTATGTAGCATACTTAGCAGGGCAGGCCAAAGATCTAGGTTTGTTCGCCGCAAAAACCCAAAGTCCTTGGGCCAGGAATCACGACACAAGGAATAACACTCATATTTAAATACGTACAGCTATATACTAATCTAGTTGTAACTTTATGTCACTAAGTAGATGCGAAATCCGAGGGAAAATCGATGGCGAAGATGAAAAATTGTCCAGACGTTCAACGAAACCAAATGCAATATTTAATTATACAACAAACTTACATAACATACAAGCGAGTAATATATTATATGAATATATATATATATATTTTACAATTGATTTATATAACGTATAAGTAAATGCCACATCATTTTCGTGTAAAGCCTATTGAATTGTTTGTTAAAAATTTTTTGAAACGTTTTCTTTACGAAATAAAAAATGGGAAATGAAGAAGAAGAAGACACCCAGCTCACACAAAGTTACGCCAAAAGAAAAGAAAAACCAGAACAAAAAATTTATATACATTTATCGAATGAAAAATATATACAACAAAGATAAATTTTAGTGATTAATATAAGCAAAGACCAAAATGAAATATTGATTTTTGAAAATAATAACGCAAACGTGGAGGAAATGTCACAAACACTATGTAAACCCAACAAAACTAACAAAAATAGCCTTACCGACATTCGAAAACGATTCAGCGTATTTCCAAGTTTTAAAATGTTTATATTTTGCGTTGTAATTTTCCTTCGTTGTTTTCAATATTCAAAAACGAAATTGACGAGTAATGAAAATATTTTTACAAAACAAAAAAGCTAGGAAACCGAAAAAAAAAAACAAAAATAATTAAAATGCATAACGCTTCCGACAATAAGCTTTGGCCACACTATTGTAATAATAATATTGAAAATCGGTAGATGGAAAATAAATGGAAATGAAAATCGAAGATGCAAGCAGTTTTTGCACTAACGAATCGAACGAAAATGGAATTACAACGCCCAATGACAAAAAATATTTGCCCAATTTAGTCTACAGATATATAGATAAATACCTATGTACTTATGTAGTAGCCTTGTTCTACTGTATATTTTTAAACGGAGTTGTATTGCAGAATCAGCAAAGCAAATGTATTTTCATGACACGCATTTGAAGCGAACATATCAAAACCGAATACCGATTACCGATTACCGAATACGAAAATACGGAAAATACGAAATTATCTAGAAATTACCGATTGGATGTTATCAGTAACCGTTACCGTAACCGTTGAACGTTTAGCAACCCAAAGCAAAGAACTACGAAAATAACCAAATATTTGGAAGCTGGCAGTCAACTAGGAACGGGTAGGTGTCTTGAAAAATATTCGCAAAAAATACAAAACCACACAAAAAAAAAAAAAAACAAAAAATCAAGAGTTCTTAAGCTGTTTCATCATTTATTATTGAAAAATATTTACAAGCGCATTTAGGACGCGAAATGTGAAGAATAATATGCAATTGAAATCATAACAAGAGATCTACCAATTATACCGAATCAAATGGAAGATGGATACAAAAAAAAAAAAAAAAACAAAACGAAAAAAAGAAGAAAAGAAAAGAAAACACCCAAAACTGAATCTAAATTAAGCATGAATATTTTTTGCTGTGTCTTAGTCCATGTGTCGTAACGAATTTATTGAACTAAATATTATACATTATTAAAATTAAAACTTAAACTAAACAAAGTATCTTAACATTTTTTGTTTTAAACGAATAAAATGCAGGCAAACAAACAAAATTTCTACAAAATTAAGCACAAATTTTTTCAGAAAACAAAACCAACAAAAAAATGAGAAATACTAAAAATTGCCTTTTACTTATATTTTATTTTCTACTATTGAAAAAATTAAAATATAATTAATATACAACACGCTGAATTCATTAGAGCATAAAAGCGCGCCTAAAAACATCTGTGACTAATAAAAAAAAAACATATATGATAAACAAAACAAAACCAGACAAAATCCCGAAAACTGCAAACGAAAATGAAGAACTCCAATGAAATAGTGAAAGTCGATGTAAAATCGTGTGAGGTACAAGAAATTGTTGAGCAACATATGGCAAATACATATACTAGCTACAGTTTAACTAATTATTGATAACGGTACATACATTCTACATATGTACAGCTAACTCTCACACCCACACCCACACACACACACACCTACACCCACACATACACACCACAACGGATATACCAATACATGCAAACCTAGTTATATTTGTATGTGCATCATACTTGAGTAGAAAACAATTTATACATTAGTATTTATGTAACAAGCTACTTTTACTTACATGCAAGTGTGTATTGAGAAGTATAGTACGATATATACACAAATATATAGATGATATTTCGACGACCGTAAGCCCAAACACAGCAATTTACTTATATAACAAACCAAACCAAGTTTCTTTTAAACCAAACCAAAAATACAAGGTTTTTGGTACGAAGAGAACAACAATTATGAAGGGATAAAAAGAAAGGTTTACGAGCAGAGGCAAAGCAGAGAAAGATGAAGAAAAAACCCATGAAATACAATATATATACACTTATTTAAAATATTTAACAAAAAAAAAAAACAAACGATTTATATATATACATATATACATACCACTAAATAGTTTAAATGTTTATTTATTGTATTTGAACCAGATGAATGATAATGAAACCAAATTTAAATAAAAGTAATAACTCAAAAAACCAAACAAGGCACATTTTTTAATGATAGCGGGGATTGTTTAGCTCTGAAGAGATATGTTTAACGAATTCGTTGTTTTTAAATGTTATTTTTTTACAATTAATAAAGTAAATTTGATATTAATGCCATCCAGGTTTTATAACTTATAGGTATTTTGCTTCATGCATTGTTTATTTTATTGTGACATTACAAATTACAGGTTACTAAAACAAGTTGTCGATGCAGGTGTCGATAGTGGAGTTGATCTCGTCGAATCCCCGGACGGCGTTCTCGGTGGCCTCCGTGGTGCAGGCGGTGGCATCGGTGGCCACGGCGGGAACGCTCTTCCGCAAACCGATCAGCGTGCGCAGCGATTTCTGGCCACTGATGACGAAGAATCCGCACTTGGTGTACAACTTGGCGGAGCAGGTTTTCCGCATGATGCCGCCCTCCTTGTACGTTTTGCAGGTGCGTCGCAGCTTGAAGATCTGCCAGCCATCCACGGTCAGCTGGAGGATGGCCTTCTTGGTGTCCAGCATCAGGTTGATCGAGGTGAGGGCGGCATCGCGTCCGCAGCCCAGGAAATCCAAAGTGCTCGACTCCACCACTTCGGCCAAACCGGTGGTTACGTTCACCGCGCACTCGCCGCCTTCCACAGCACGCCTCTCGATCTCAGCGGCCAGCTCCTCCAGCTGCCTCACCGGGTACAGGAAGATCTTCAGCAGCTGGCGCTCCGTCAGCCGGATGATGCTGCGACCCAGAGCCTTCGCCTCGGCGAGGAAGAAGCCCACCATCTTGTTCACGAATCCGAACTCATCCACATCCACGGTGCCCGCCTCCAGCAGTTCCTGCTCCAAGTTGAATCCCAGGTCCAGGTCGAAGTCCAAGTCGAACTCAAGGCCGAACTCCTTGGCCAGTTCCTGCAGTGAGCCCTCCTGGTCCTCCTCCAATGGCACAGCTGAAACCTAGTTTTTGGAAAGGAATAAAAAACAAATTTTAACATTTCACTTCCTCTCATTACCAAAAATAATTTGCTGTGATTACAAGTTATTTATAAACTTAGTCAAGCTAATTTGTCGTATACGTAATATTTTTGTTTCCTGTTACTAAACTGTCATAATATTAATCATACGCAGTGTTGACTCACAAGTTTAATTTGCACTTAATATTATATCGTAAGGTTTTTTGGACATTTACAAGTTAAATAGGTTTATTAAAAAAAAAAGATTCTTTGGTTAAAATTTTTTAATGTTATGACTATTATTATGAACTTTCAAAATGTATTTTTAATTATTCATTTTATATTTTGGTAGCGCACTTATACCACGTTTTTCATTAATATTTTTGTTCAATCTTAGCACTCAAAATGTTAATAACAGGTTGTTTTTAAGGATTCCATTTGATGTTTTACTCACAGCTGCCAGGGCCAAAGCCAACACTAAAATAATACTCCTCATGGTTGATCAAGGTTTGTCGGGACTTCGCTGGGGACTCACCTTTTATATGGCTGCAAACCGCAAATGTCTCGAAGTCAGATTGCCATATCGGAACCCCCAGTTAATTAAAATATTCAAGGGTCGTTTTATCGGCCAATTGAAATATTTCCCATTATTTGTCATTGTCTTTCTTTAATCGGAATAATTTCCGTCGCGCTTTTTTTCTCCAATCGCCAAAGAGAAAGGCAGAAATGCAAGATTAGCTCGCAAATTCTATTTGCCTGTGCGTCGAGCGATACGAAGGAGCTATTACTGGTTTGCCACTTCAAAATCGCTCTAATCGCAGAATCTGAGTAATGCTATAATTATAGTAGATAATGTCATATAATTTATGGCTTCGCCTGTGCCCTCGATTAAAAGTCATTGCGAAGTCTGAGAAAATATTGGCAAATCAATCTAAGGAATCACTTGAGACATTAGATACGCACGCGCAGAAATAATTAAGTATTTTCTTAACAGTTCTTGTTAAAGGTGTTATATTTCGGGGAATTTGTTAAATTTGGGGGTTTCCTGCATTACGAAAAAAACAAATTGTATCTATTTATTTATTGTTATTTGTTTGAAATGTGTTAGTTATTGTAAGTGAAGTGAAGTGAAGTACGCACTTAAAGTGTGTTGACTTTATTAATTATTTTACTACCTCCGGGTCAATATAGGAAAACAAAGCTTTGTTATGATGATGGCGATAGTCTTTGTGTGATTGGGAATTTTTAATCTAAATCCAAATCGGTGAACTCTACGAATAGCAGCTGAATGTAAAGTTCACTAATCAAACCAAGCCACGAATGATTTACAATGGCGGCCATAAATTTATGGCTGGCAATCCAGATAAACGCTCTACGTCTGCTGGTAATCCATTTCTGGATGCCCGAGTATAAATACGTTTTTGGCCAGGTCCGCAGTTAGCAGTAGCAAAAACCAAAAGCAGCAAGAGAACCATGAAGACCGCCGTTGTCCTTATCCTGACCCTGTTCGTGGCCAGCGGATGGGCCCAACCGCTGGACATGCCCGCCCAGCTGGACGCCCAGGTGCACAGCGTGGTCGAGGAGATGACCGAGATTGGCAAGTCGACCGGCCAGGCTCTGGTGCACCAGTACGAGGAGATCGTCGTGGAGCCGCAGCAGGAGCTGGAGGAGGCCCTCGATCTGGTAGAGTCGCGTCGCCAGGAGAGTCCCGAGTGCGTGGCCGCCGAGGATGAGGAGATCGCCCGCATCGTTGACGCCGCCCACGAGGATCTGCACTCCTGCGGCGTCGTCGCTGCCCAGACCTCCGCCGAGATTGTCTCTGATGTGAACGCCGCCACCCAGCAGCTGGTCTACGGTGGCTACAGCCTGGGACGCACCTACAACAAGTGCCAGTCGTACAAGAACTCCGTGCTCAAGCAGTCCTGCATGGCCAAGTTCTATGTGCAGGCCACCGTCTATCTGGTGAGTGCCCGCTCCTCGATCAAGACCATCCGCAAGTCCGCCAGCGAGCGCATCCCAGCTGTCTTCGTAGCCGGCAACGTTTGCACCCATTCTGCATCCTCGCAGGCGGTGCTCGGCCTCCAGGAGGTCAACAGCCACATCGACGCCTGCGTTTCCCGTCGCCGCTAATTCATCCGCCTGCTTTAAAGCAAATAAAGATTGTGGATTTGCAATGCAAAGATCGATAAGCATTTAAAATAAAAAGAAAGCTTTTTTTTAATTTTGATTTTATTTTATTTGCATTTGTGTTCTTGCAAAACCAAAATTAACAAAATAAATTTGCAAGGCTATATAATGCCATATTTAACGACTCCAGCGTTGACTTTTTAAATTTAAACCCCTCCTTTTTTGCGATTGACGGTCACTCTGCCCAACCGGCTGGCTCGTGGAACCGTTGGCGAAACTAGTTCCAGCTCCGGGCTGGGGAAAGTGCAAGATGTTTGGCCTTCTGCGACACCTGTTCAAATTGCAGTTTCTTTTCGTTGTGGCGGCCGTCTTGGCCGGATTTTATCACACAGAGATTAGGCAATTCCTTCGACGGCATACGGACAACTACCTGGACACAGCTGGCCAGGATGCAGGCATTCCATTGGCCTTCCAAGCTGGTGACGAAGTCGGTTCGCTCTTCACGCCGGCTGAACTGGCGCAGTTCAACGGCGAGGACGGCCGTCCCATCTATTTGGCCCTCCTGGGATCCGTATTTGATGTGAGCCGTGGCATCAAGCACTACGGATCCGGCTGCAGCTATAACTTCTTCGTTGGCCGCGATGCCTCCGTGTCGTTTATTTCCGGTGACTTCGAGAGCTACGATCCGGAAACGTCCGACGATGTGCTCACTTTAAAGCCCAATGATCTGATAGGTTTGGTCGGGTGGCGGGATTTCTACCAAAAGGACTACGTCTACAAGGGCCGACTGATAGGACGCTTCTACGATGCGAACGGTGCCCTAACCACCTATCACCACAAGTTTCTGGAGCTATTGCACCAGGCGGAGGAGGCCAAGCGACAGGTGGAGGAACTGAGGGCCCGGTATCCCGGATGCAACATCGAGTGGAGCGAGGAGCGGGGCACCCGCGTCTGGTGCACCACCACCAGTGGAGATGGCAAGGAGCGCTCCTGGATCGGCAATCCCCGCAAGCTCTATAGCCGCGGCAACAAAAACTTCCAGTGCGCCTGTGTGCCTGAATCGGAGCTGGACGAGATTGATTCCGGCGGGCAAGGGGCCCACGGAGATGCTATGCTTAAACCGTACGACAATTGCGAACCCAGAGCACAGGAGTGCTTTTATAGGGTGTAGCAGCTAGCTCTAAATTTGTAAATAAAGCATTTGACTTATAAAAAGAAAAAACCATATTCACAAATTTAGTTAACTGGCTCGCGCCACTGGTTCCGGTTCATTTCTGTTATGTTCGCCAGCCTGCTGTTAAACTGCTGCACAGTAATCTAAACGGCCTACACAAAGTAAACAAAAAACAAAATCTTAAAAAAAATTAGGTATTAAGCTAATGTGTTTGAAGAAAATTTATAAAAAGAACTAATGAACAACATTTTGGCTAACATACGAATATTTCTTTTTATATATATGTACATACATTAACTTTCCTTTATACCATGTGTGCACCGTACTTGTTACCTATGTTAATCTTGCTGTTAAGTGCGGTGAGCGAGCTGTTAATCGCATTTCTTGTTTACCTTTTAAAATTCTTAAAGTATTGCTTAATTTTGTAGAGTCCTTGAAGAATAAAGGCTGCTACACATGGCCACGTCCCCGGGGGTGTCCCCTGCCATGGATGCTGACCCCGAGCCCAGTGGCCTGATCTCCGCCACCGTAGTCGCCGGTCTGAAGAACCTGGGAGACATCATCTCTCCGCCACTGACCAAGTTACTTATAGCAAATTCGCTGAAGTTGACCCTCCACCCAGATGCCAGTAAGTGGGAATCAAAAAGAGATTGTACCCCTTAATCTGATCAGTGATAATCCACCCACAGCTATTGCTCCCGTGCCCGAGATCTATGCCTCTAATGCCGCGTGCGCCAAACAGAGCGAGTACGCCGTAGTTACGCTCTACGCCCTGGCCACCAAGCACGGCTGGGATGGCCTCCAACTACGCCAGCAGCTCGAGCAACTGACCCTGGACACCGGCGCCGTGGACGAGCTAAGCCGCGTGTACGAGGATAATCGCAAGGAGCTGATCCTTCGCCAGTTGCAGCTGGGCCACAGCTTTCCGCACATCACCGACATCCAGTGGCGCATCGTGTGCGACGTCAAATCGTCGACATCCGATAGCAGTACCGGCGTGGCTAATTTTCACATCAATCTGGGAAACTTTCGGTCCAGTAGCGGCGAACGGGTGACCATCGTGGAGTTCGTTTGCAACGCCGAGGAGCTGCAATCGCTGATCAACCGGCTGAAGGAGATTGAACGGCATTGCCATCAGATGGCCGTGGCCTAGGGAAACACTTGGCTCTTAACATTCTTATCGATTATATTTCGCAGCATATATATAACACAAGCATTTGTCTATGGCTATATACAGTGTCGGGAACAGAAAACCTAAACAGTTAACACAGTTATCATCACTAAAAGGCTTCAACACATTCGTCATCTTCGATGGACCCAGAGCTTGCAGCTCGAACTTCGGTGGCATCCGTGTCCGGCGTCATTGGGCTGGCATCTTTCGCGACGAGGATGGCGGCCGTGGCACCAGCAGATCCACTACCTGGTCGTAGTGATTGGGAGCCGTGCAGTAGATGGTGCCCGAGAAGTGGGTGCGATCGTTCTCCTCGGCGGCGATCACTGTGCAGTGGTTCTGCTGCGACAGCCGCATGTTTAGACCCCGAAAGCGGTGGTCCTGCTTGTAAAGATTAGCTCCGTCCCGCGGCATGAAGTAGGGTCGTCCGCTAAATGGATTGAGGAAGTCCGCCCAGTAGCCGAGAGACAATAGGCGATCGCTGATGTCCCGAGCGGCCAAAACAAACTGAAAGCAGAGTAATTATTATGTGTGTGTGTATAAATTATAGGGTTTTCTGATTCTTATATGCTTGCATTCAAACATCTAAAGACAAACTAGACAAATATAGGTAAGCTAAACATTTGTTTAAAATTTGTACTACAACCATTCTATTTTCCATGCCACAAACATATGTATTTTGCTTTGGTCATATTTAGCAATCCTGAACTTTATAAGGTCAGCAACATAGCTTTACACCTCAGAAACTGGTTTCGTACAATACAGTTAGGCCATATCAAGGCTATAGCTAGGTTAATGCTAATCAGACTAGAGTTTGGATCTTCACCTTGGCTGCTTCCAATTTCATGTATACTTAGTATGTGTAAACAAGGGTATGTCTCTTTATAGATCTCTAACTTTGGCACGGTCATGGATCCGGATAAAGTGTGATTCAAACGGATATCTGGCATTATAACTCTGATTTGACGATTTGAAAGCTGACTAAACTACATTATGTGTGCTCACCTTAGCGGCGCCCATTTCTATGTCCCCGTCGTAGCTGAGGACCAACATGGTAATGGAAGACTCCCGCTGCGCCACGACACGCACGGGAAAGAGCTCCACGAGCGACTCGCGGATGAGCATGGGGCACTGGCAGCAGGAGAACTCCAGACGAGATTTGTCCGCATTGGCCTCCTTGCGGAAGTTAACCAACTGGCCGAGCGGAGTGAGCAGTCCGACCGTGGTGGTGTCGCCTTGCCAGGCAGGTCCGGTTGCATTGGGCAGGTAGAAGCGGTTGCTCCGCGCCGCGGTCAACTCCCAGTTGGGTTCGCTCTCCAGGCTGTTTAGCTCATCGTCTCCGTCGAGATCCCGCGACTTGGACACCGTTTTGAAGGGCTCTCCGGCGTCCGAGGGAGGTCCGTTTCGCTTGGAGTACATGGCCACCGGGACGATGGTGCTACTGGCGCTGCAACTGTTCACTTGGCCGCATAAAAGTCCGCGCAGGGGCGTCAGTCTGTGGGGCCCGCGATTTCCGGGGCCGAGGGTGCCCAGTACGCGACTCAAAGAGCGCGACATTATTATATCATAGGCTTCTGCAAATGCGTAGATTCCGCTGGCATTCAGTGCTATTTCTGATCCGATCCGATCCCAAGGCAAACTCACCTTCGTTGAAGGCCGGAGGAGATGGATTCTGTTCGGGCGCTTGAAAAATATATCCGGTACTTAAGGCTTTGGACTTTTACGTGGAATTTTGTTTGGAGTTTGCTACAAGCTATTGTCAATTTCGACAGACTAGATTTGTTTTCGGGGCCACAATCCAAACAGCTGCTACTTTACTTCAACCAGAGTTGCCAGATGTTGAGCTTTCCCCAAGTTCAATTCATCCAGGTGCCCAACCGCTCTTTATTCGGGAAAACAACTTTATAGCGCCATTTTAAAAATTGTTTTTCCACAAAACCAACTCAACTGAAAAATGTTTAAAATTGTTGGATTAAATATTTGTGAGACCTGCAGATGCAACGTATTATTAAAATATCTAACAAACTGCATCATTAGTTTATTTTAAATTTTTTGGTCAAAAATCATTTTATCTTACCAGGAAGTGTATTTTCTTTTATGTTTCTAGACCATCAACAAAGTTGCAGCCTTAACAAAAATCAATAATTATACGATAAATTGATATTATGTGCTCCGCATAAGGGTTAAGGCACACTCAATTGTTATTTCTTTCGCACTTAGCAGAAAACGCTTATTCACTCGCACTAGTTGTAGATATAGTAATGGTAGAATAGGTATTAAGTAGTCTCGTCGGGTTCATCAGTCCATTACCAATCACTAGAATAAGTGCGAAAGAAGCAGCAATAATGTGTGTTTATTTAACCCTTAAACGGCACATAATATGAATTTTTCGTATAACTATTGATTTTTGTTAAGGCTGCACCTCAGAATTTGCCTCACATATAAATTGCATTGCTAAACATTTAGTTGATTTTTATATTCTACTCGCGAGTGCTTGCTACAGTAACGACAACAGATATATTTTCATTGGCACACAAGGGTTAACGTTAATGGACTGCACCCGAAAGATTTCGGGCCCGACGAGACAACCTAAAACTTATTCTACCATGGGCTCTGCCGTCGGTTTCTGCGCTCAGTCTCAAAAGCGAATAGCTGCGGATCGTTGCGATCGAGCGGAAGAAAGAAAAACTGAACTGAAGTGAACTGAGCCGAGGAAAGCGTATTTCCCACTTGCCTGACCTGACCACATTTTCCTCGCGTCGGCACGAAAAGTGCAGTGTATATCTCACCCGATTCTCGAAAGAAACATACGACTTTTTTTTTCCTGTTGCCCCGCGGCCAGAAGTGCGAAGAGAAAAAGTGCTAATTGTGCAATTGATTGACACGATCGATCTGTTTTTCCGCAACGCGGTGCTGGTGGCAACTAGATCGTTAGATCGTTAAATAATTGAAGTGTTCGCGTTGCAAACATGAAAACATGAAGCCTGCCGCGCATTGAAAGGCATTCAAATAAGAAGAGGGGCAGCAAGAAGGCAGAGCAACGCAGATCGCAGATCGCCAAACGGAGCAAACGAGTGAAGAAGCGAAAAAGTGAGTGATTTATTTATTGCACAGTAAGAGTCACAAGAACAGCAACCTAAAACCGAAACCAAAAACGAAACAGATTCAGATTCAGATTCAGATTCAGATTCAGATTCGGATTCGGATTCGGATTCGGAAAACAGAAACAGACGGAGGCTCAGGTTTATTATTTGTGTCGGCGAAAGTGAAGCACAACCCACTTGCATGTGGAGATTCTCAGATCTCAGATCTCCGATCGCCGATCTCCATCATCCACTCACGGCTGGTTATGCTATATGCTATATATGCTATATGCTATATGCTATATGCTATATATGCGTTATATGCTACATGCTACATGCTATGTTGTGTTATGGTTTATGATCTCCGTTCTGTTTGGTTCTGCTTCAGTTTCAGTTTCTGTTGAGTTTTCTGTGTTTTCTGTTTCGGAAGCGGCGGCAATGATCTCCGGATTTGTGGGCCAGCGGGATGGGCCACGGGCTCCGGGGCATCAAGATGGGGATGCGGACGCAGACACACCGAAATGGAATGGAATTGAATTAAATCAAATGATAAAAAATATAAATCGAGTGTAGAAACAGAGGCAGCCCTCTGTGCGGTAGCGGAAAAACAAAAAGACACGGAAAAGAGAAGCGAAAATCGGAATTGGATCCGCGCGAAAGAACGAGCAAAAAAGGAACTAACTTAAATAAAAAAAAAAACCTTAATCCGAATCTGTATCTGTATCTGTATCTGTATCTGTATCTGAATCGGAATCAGAATCAGAATCAGAGAGACAATCATAATCAGAGAACCCCCATACAGGGCGGACAACTGACGAGATGGATGGACAGATTGGCTGTACCATTGGGGGGCTGCTACTCCGGCATGTATTCACTTCTATATAGTATTCGGTATAGTAGCTGCAGATCCGCTCTTAGCTACAGATACAGATACAGATACAAATACAGAGAAACCGCGCGGCGGAAGGAACAGATGCAAAGGGTAAAACCCGCGGCGGCATCCGCACTTGTTGGCTGCTCCTGTGGAATAATAATAAATAGGAAATACATTCAACTCCCCGGCTAATGCTGCTCCCACAAGGGATATACAACCATATTCTCTGTACGTCTGATTTTGTCTGTTTGTTTCCCCGTCGAAATGTCAAAATTCCAAATAGTCTGTGTAAAAATAAGTTACGGCTTGCTCCGCAGACGATGCTACATATGATGTACTGTACTTGTTTTCCGGAGAGATGATCGCATCGCATCGCTAAATCGCTGCCATCGATCAGTATTTCCAGTTTCTAAGCTTTGGCCTTGTTTTATCGCTTTGTTTTTTCGCTCGGCAAACATTCGGCAGATGATTTGCACTTTGCCAGATATCATGTTGTTGTTGTTGTTGTTCCAGTTGCCAGTGTTGAATGCATTTTCCCGGCCAGGAAAACAAAACCAGGCCAGTGCACTTGGACAAGCAGGGGGCGTGGCTGCTAACTGAAAAGCGCTGCGGCAATTCCAAATGCTGGGTAACTAAATTGTATTCCAGCTAGCCGCTGATTTTGCTCCTCCGCCTCATCAGCGTTGTTTTGTTTGATTAAATTCCCTGCTCGTTGCCCCCATGAAAAGTGCTTAATGGTTTTGTCGCGTTTTGGAATTTACACAACCCAGCGAACAGCGAACAGCGAAAAGCGAACAACGAACCAGAGATCCAGAGAGCCAGACGAAAAGAAAGCGTTGGGGCACACAAAAACAAACAAAAAACATTTAAAAAAAAGAGAGAAAAAAAAAATGAAAACAAAAAAGCTAGAAAGAAAAAAAGAATAGCATCCAACAGCAGATTCAGATTCAGAATCATAAAATTCGTGAGCGTTCAGCTGACAGTTTAATAAATGCCACTGCCTCATTCGCTCGCTCTGCCGCATTCATCAGATTCATCCAGCATTTGCGGCGATTTGTGGCCGAGGCTGCAAGTGGGCGGGAGAGGCTATCTGTCCGTCTGCCTGTCCATCTGTCCCTCTGTCCATCTGTCCATCTGTCTGTCTGTCAAGTCCCCAGAAGAAGAACGAGGAGATCGAGAAGATCGAGGAGAAGCTGCCGCTGGAATTCTTCACAAAATTTGAGAATTCCTTGGCAATTGCTTGACCAGCATTCCGGCGAACTTTTACTGGGAAAATTATGTGTGAGGCTTGCACTTCATCGCGCTCTGTCAATAATGTACAATCAGTACAATATTTGCAATAGCTACAGTTTTCCACTTAAGAACATAATCATTTCAAACATTTGTACGTACGCACATAGTAAATAGTTATCACGCTTCGATTTATCCAAATTACCTGTTCTTTTTGCTTAATTGCCATCTGACACCATATATATATTTTCTTATATTATATTTTCTACTTTGAAATAGGAGCCTTTTTGCTCCGTTATTTTGAAATTGTCATGTTGTTAATTGAGATCTTCAATTAATTTTTATTATTATTATTGTCAAGCTTTTTTGCCAGCAACTTTTAGATTTTATCATTGATTACCTTTCTTTTGTCTACCTTGCACAATTTATATAGTTTAGTACGCCTTTTAGGGAATGTTTTTAGAAAAGAATCTCCTGGTGAAGGAACCCCGCCAAACCTTAGTTTCCCTCAAAATACATAGAATTTACTACCCCAAGGAAAGGCTTTTATACCTTGCAAATTGTAAAACATGCAGATCAGCAGAGGAGGGAGCCCCAAGTGGGAGCCCTCTGCCTGTTGCAAAGTGTTCCTCTGGCAGCGCCAAGATCACGACTTCACTTACTGCTGCCACATCTTTGGCCGCAGTTTATTCCGTTTGATGTGCATTTTATTTTAGGTCGCGAGTTAAAAATACGCCAATCTATTATCCGGTGCTTTATTTTCTTTGGCAGCGACAACTGCCAGCTGCCTTCGTTGGTGGAAGCTAAGAAGGGATGCCACCTCCTCCTCCTCCTCCTCCTCCTTTTTTTCCTTCTTTCATTGGACAGTTTGGTAATTGCATTTGGAGATTGCCAGCACGAAAATGCTGCCCCATTTCCACCTTTTCTGCTCCTTTTTCGAGCCTTTTGTCAGCTGACCCATTTAGCTTGCACCTCGGTTTTAGTTCCCAGTTCCCAGTCTGAGTTTCAGTTTCAGTCTCAGCCTCAATTAGTGCAGCATAAGGGGCTGAAACGCAACATGATTTAAATTGCTGTCGCTGTCAGTTTGTCAGACAGCGGCGACAACAGCAGCACGAGCTACAAAATCAGCAGACAGAAGACAGCTAACAAAAACAAAAACAACAGACAGAAGCGATCGCAGAGTGTATCTTATAGATACACGGCTGCTGACATAATAATCCTCCACCCTTCTCGTCCGCCTCCAGACTCTTGGCCAGAATTCACCCAACACATGGGCTAAAAATGTGCTGTTCTGCTTTTCTGGGATCCACCATCCGCCATCCGCCAGCCATTCCGCTGTCACTCAAACTTTCAGAGGACGCGGGCTGCAAGTCTTTTTAGTCTTCTACAGTCTACAGTCTACAGTCTTAAGTCTCTTGGCTTCCCCGAGAAGATCAGTGAACGCTTTGGGTGCCGCAGCCATGATCCACATTCGGTTGAGCAACCCGCAAGATACTATACATATTCCTTATGAATTCGCACAGAGAAACTACAAGTATAAGTATTCCATGCGGCGTTTGGCAATTCAGATCATGATCTTTCCACTATTTACGGTTTGTTCGGTTGGAGCGCTAAGAATCACGATCACGATCACGATCAGTGGGTTTGTTTGGGGGGAGAAAGCATATCACCGCCGGAAAAATAATGTTTGAGCAGTGAAGAAATCGCAGGGAAATAAAATCTAATCAGCATTAACAAACGAGCTTTTAATGAGCGGCGGGGAGGAAGTGGAAGCCATCTACGGAACGGAGTTTCCGATACGCAACTCATTCGGAGTAAACAAAATACGAGGAGGCGGGCGGAGGAGTGTCGTCTGGGGGACACTTGTCGCTCATGCTAATGAGCTCTCTGGCCTCCCCCGCCTCGTGTTCGATTGTCAATTGATCAATCGAGCGATCAATGGAGCGATCCATCCACCGATCACCCGATCGATCGCCAATTCCAATTTCACCCGTTCAACTCGATCCATCCGCTTACCCGTACTTGTACCCAGTAGTTATAAGATATAGCTTGTAGCAGATAGCAGATAGTATATAGTATATAGTGTATGGTGTATAGTGTATAGCGTATGCCACATCCCACACCATTGTAAACCCCACCCGCTGTTATGGTGACGGTGGCCATAATGGTTGATTTTAATTAAATATTTCTTCTTCCTGTTGTTGTTTCCCTCGTTCGCATTTGAGTACTTCTCTATGGGTTGGCCATGGTTGGAGGCCCCTTTTCCCCCTCCCCCTGCCCCTCTGCCTCCGCCTCCGCCTCCGCCTCCCTTTCCCTCCATCCGAAAACCCATCCAGCAGTAGCACCCCACCATCCGTTTCTCGCTTCCCGCACTTCCCAGGGAATGACAAGTGCACGACCTCATCCCATCCCATCCCATCCCATCCAATCCAATCCAATCCCATTCCATTCAATCCCATCCAGAGAGTTTGGTGAATGCCTGGTGATTGTGGCCGAGGGAAGTCCAGTTTTTCCACGGAAAAACTCCACTCCACTCCGAATCGCTTCGAATAGGGATACAACTCTTTCCCTCTCTCTCTTTCTCTCTCTCTGTCTCTCTCTCTGTCTGCATTCAGCAGAACGGAAGTGCTACTCTCTGGTTCTCCTCCAGATTTTCTGGTTTTCCACTTGGCTTGGCCGTCGCGTTCGCCGCATAAATAATAATCGCTGTCCATAATAGTTTGTCGTTAAGGAATCGAATCGAAGGAGCAGGGCATTAAAAAGACATAGTTAAATAAAAAAAAGGAAAAGGGAAAGGGGAAGAAGAGGATAAAGATGGGGATGGGGATGAGCATTGAACCCATGCCAAGTCCGTGGTCGACGGTAGCGGGGGACTACTGCCCCAGCACTCGCCATCATTAAAGTTGATTGCAAACTGTACGCATTTATGATCGCCACCACATCACGATGACGCTCTCGCTGATCACAGCAATGATAATGATTATAATCCCCATGATTATGATCATGATTACGATCATCATGATGATAATGATATGGACGATAATGATGATCATTTGAGGGAGATGGCGTCGCATTATCAGCGACTGTATAAGCATTACTATGACCGCTGGCCGTTTATTAGTTTGCCGTTGTGCGAATTATTTCCAATGGAAGATGGCTCCTGGTCTCCAGCTGGTCGGTCGCCTGGTGAAGTGCCAGCCATATCAATAAGTACTAATAGCAGTAGTTTAAAGTGTTTCCCAGTGGAGTCGCCGTCGAGTTTTCCCATGGGAAAGTCGCGCTGGCTTGAGCAGCTGGTTGCCATTAAGTTTCGTGATCGTAAAAGCGTTCTTTCCCTTTTCTTTGCCTTCGTTTCTGCCATAGATGATGCCGCCAAGACTGCCGGGCAGCCAGGGAGCAGCGACGAGTAGTGGGAGCCACAGTGGACACCACCACATGACGCCATCGACGGCGGCGAACACAACGTTCCACAAACGACGACGAAGGCGATTCGGTCCGATGTTCAGTTCGCTGAACTTCAGTCACGGCAGCTACTTGGCGCTGATCTTGCTCACCACCACCTGTTCGCTGGTGGCCACCAGCTCATCCACCTCCACCTCCACCACCACCAGCACCACCAGTTCATCCTCCGCATCCGCCGACACAGCCGTTGCGCCACCGGATCCCGCCCAGCTGGCTCCCATCTCCTCCAGTTCGCCATGTGCCGCGCAACACTGGTGGGACTCGCAGCGGGACCGATGCACTCCCTGCACTCGCTGCCAGGGCGAGATGATTCCCCTGCGTCCGTGCCAGCTGCACACGGACACCATCTGCGGCTCCATCTACGATCTGAAGATCGACTGGGTGGTTCTGGCCAAGACCGAACCGAATTGGAAGGAGGTGGGTTCCCATAACCAGTTTAACTCCTCCGTGGAAAGCTTCATCTTTGTGTTCTTGCAGCGGCGAAAGTCGTCGGAGTACGAGCACTTCGAGCACAACGCTCCATTGCAGCACCTGACCCACGAGCAACTGCAGCAGCTGCACGAGGAGGCCGCCGCCGCCTGGGCACTCGACTGGCAGACCGGAGTCCTCTACGTGGCCGTTCTCACCTGCCTCGTCTTCTTCTCGGTGGCCGCCTGCATCCTCATCCACCACATGCGCCAGTGGCGCCGCATGGAGCGTCGCCTCGACCAGGGTGAGTTTCGAGTCCAGTCTTGTTACACAGAAAATCAAGAATAGTATCTCCTATGAGGGGGGCTTTAAAGTGAATATGTAAACGATGGAATCACTTTGTGTTCCTATTGATCGCACACAAGATATTTGTGGGTATTTCAAGAGCAATCTAAAATCATTTCTGAACAAAGTTTCAAATATGAGATGTATAGTAAGCCTACTTGAAAAGATCACTCATTGCAAACACAAATTTATTAGGCAGAGAAAATTGGGCATAGTACAAAACGAGAGTTTAAAATTACAATAGACAATACATATATAATATTTAATTACTAAAACAGAGTGCTTCAAAAAAAAATGGGAGTAAATAAGACAACATTTGGGGATATATTTATGTAGGTAATTATTAGGTAATTATAGATACTAAATAGGAAACTTCCCAACAAAAAAAATCGGTAAATAAACATTTGGTGTAGAAAAACGATACTCTGAGTAGTTATGAAAAGTACTCTTTAGTTTAATATAATATAAGGTCCTAACTCTTTGCTGGAGACAACAACTTTATGCAACCTAAACTATATTCTAAATGAGTTTTGGGTTAACCCTAATGTTTTCTGAATTAAATTGAAGGGACAGGAATTAAGAAGAGCACAATTAACTTTAGATTAAATTGGCTACAAGAAGTGTTACTAAATCTTAATGCAACTGGTAGTAGGAACCACTTGTAGTGCCAAGACAGTTCGAACTAGAATCAAATCAACAGTGGTCTCTCAAAAGATATATAATAGGTTTCCAAGTGCTGCTTCGCTCCGCGTTTCACACGCTCCCGGGTGAATTTCACCTGCCAGCCGCTCAATGCGATCCCTTTTGACTGCCCCTCCAGGCTGATTGTGGATTCAGAGCGCGTTGCTTTTGGCCAAGGGCCCGACAGTCCCGAATCTGGTTTCCTGCTCGGCATGTCCAATGCGCCGGAGCAGTGGAGCCGGAGCAAGCATACATATTTATGAGACGACGGGCCCAGAACACGACACTTTGATGTATGAAGGCCCGCCGTTTTTGCCCCGACTGTTTGGAGTCGTCAGTCAGTCGTTCGAATCTCTTGGCGGCATCGGCTCTTGCCGACTGGCTTCCAGCGAATTGCTGCACGATCAGCTGGGGAGACCAGGCAACCAGGCAGCCAGGAGACTTGGCCTGCGCCAAAGTAGAACGATATGTCCAAATACTCCGTCGCGATTTGCATGCCAAATTAGCTGGCAAGGCGGTACAGTTGCCCTTGGCAAAAAGGGAACCTCCAACCGTTCACTCTGCTCAAATGGAGCATGATCAAGCTCCCCGCCTCCCGCCTCCCCACTGAAAAAAATGGGTTTGTTTGCCGCCCAGACGTGGGCCACATGTTGCCAGAAGAAGATGCCACATTTCCAAAGGGGGGAAGGGGAAGGGGAATGGGAAGGGGGGGGGGAGGGGGAAACTTCTCTAATGCCAGCGGAGATTTATGCCGTGTTTTGATAGCGTTTCTTGTTGATCTCACAGAAGGTGTTGTTCCCAGCGATGTAATCATAATTCAGGGCGTGTCGACACTCCACATCGACATCCCACGCGGTGTGTCCAGCGTGGAAAATTTATGGCTGTGCCAGCTGATGGGGGGGAAGGGGGAAGGGAAAAGAAGAGAGAAAACTCCGGAGGCACTTGCAACCGGAAACGGATCCCGGTGGGCAGGTAAAAGTCCTCACACTCCATTTCCAACCCCTTCCGCTCAAGGACAAGCGGATGTTTGTCGAGAAACATTTCCGCGGGCATGTGGAGAAAATTCCGAAATCATGTCACACGACCCGCGGGGAAAAACATGTTTTCCCTACACACACACATACACACACATACTAAGGGAAATATAAATACAGGCGAGGGCAGGAAATATATGTTTTTCTCTGGGCAACAGAATTCGGTGATCATCATCGACAGATTTTTAAATAGTGTGACATGCGGAGGCACCACAAAAAGGGGCAGGCTCTCCTCCGCTTCGCTCCGTTGCACTTGAGGCGCAGTTTTCCCCCCCATTCCAGTCGCTTCCGCCTCGGGGGAATGGGATCTATAAATACGAATATATACTGGCTGCCTCCTTCCCAAATGATTGAACCAGCAACCAGCAAGCAGCAGCTGTTTTTCCCTTTCTCGCCGATGGGAAGGTGCAACTGCCACTGCAACTGCAGCACTTTCCGTTCAAGCGCATCATTGACAATTGGGCATCCGAAAATAAAGGGCGAGGAAGGGGGAGGGAATCTGCCCTTCCCTCCATTTTGGCACGCGTTCCTGCAGCCCGGGGAATCCGCAAGAGAAGCCAGGCCAAGGCGATAAATTTCCACGCGAGGCAACTGGCAAAGGGATCTGGAGAAAATATTGCACAAATGTGCCTGGCATTTCCTTCGCCATGCTTTTTCGCACAGCCCTCTGTTGCTTTAAATAGATTCGAAGATCGGAAGATTGGTGGCTCCAGAGGAAAGCCAGCTGCTCCATTCATCGATGTTTTTTTTTTATTTTTCGTTTTTGTCCCACTTTGCGAGTCCAGCGATTCATAAAAACTTTCCTTTCCTTCTACCATTTGCTTCCTGGACTTTGATTCTCATTTACCACGTTGCCCCGGTTTATGTTCACTAATCTGTTTTTCCGCGGAAAACTCGAGGCTGCGCTCCAAACAATCTTAAATATATACATATGTGTGTGTGTGTGTTTAGCCAGAGAATGAAAATTGAATATGTACTAGAATGGTTGAAAAACAAGAAGAAAATCCCAATCCAATTGAACTGCGCAAATTTGAAAATTGTGCTGGCCTCGCCGCACTTTTCCTGGCATCGTTGTTTGCTTTTCTATTTTCCAAGAGATTTTATTGTTCGCGCTGCCGCTGGTCGATTGTTTATAATAAAAGGCGTTGAACGATGGACCAAAGGCAAGAAGACGCACATCATCCACGGGCGATTTCCACTGCTTCTTCAACAGCTTCAGCTTCTCTTTTTCTATTTTTCCATTTTTTTTTTGTTTTTTCCTCCTTGGGCAATGGAACTTAATTTTCGTATTTCTCGCTGGCAGTTTATAAATAAATGATAAATTATCTGCTGCCGCTGGCCTCGTTCACCGCCCACTGGCCGCTGGATTAATGGATGGATGGAGGGGCGCCTCTTGTTTACAATTCGCAAGCCAAAGAAAAGGAAAATGGGTTTGGGTTTCGGATTGGGATTGGGATTTCCTGTGTGTGCCACCCAATAAACATTTAAGATCGATCGAAGGCCTTTCTTTGTAGCATTTCAAAAGAGACTTTTTCCTTTTCCGCTCACCTCATTGATTTGTAATGTGGTATTGATCTTTTGCAGATGTGGAGGAGCTGTCGACCAAGCTGATGGCCAAGCTGGCGGAGGTGCAGAGCCTGGACGGAGGCACCTTCTTCATTGGCAACGCGGACGCCCTGCGAGGGATTCCCGCCTCCGCAGCGGCGACGCATCCTGCATCCGCGCAGTCGGGAATCTTCCAGCCGCAACACGTGCTGCTGCCTGGTAAGTGATCCTATATCAGAATAGTAGATCCCATATCCTATATCCTTCATTCTTCATCCTATATCCCATCCCAAATCGAAGCCACTTGAGCAGCCTGGCAGGAGGCGGTTTTTGGCCTTGAAATCCCAGCGGGATTCGGGCACAAATCCTCGGAGAGAAAACTCCTTAGGGAAAGCAGGGGATTTGAAGAAAGTTGGGTTTTCATTTTTGCAATTGCATAGAGCTCATGTGATTCTTGCTTGGCAATTTTGGATATTTCAAAAGAAACCTTCATCATTAGCAAAAGTAAATTAAATCCATTGGAGGGGAAAAAACATTTTGTGAAACAAATGTTGTATTATTATTATATTATAACAAAGACAAACTCTTCAGAAACCAAAAATTAAAATAGTGTAGTGTAGGATGTTTTAGGATGTCTACCTTATAATATTTGTTTTTTATTTCAATTTGAGCTAATCCAAAAGCAATTAGTGAAAATACTAACTTCCCGAAACCTTCCCTTCAGATTTTGTTACTTGAATTATGTAAATTTGATACTTAATTTTTTTTTTTGGTTATAAAAGTATTGAGAATGTTTAAACAAATTTTTCAAAAGATTTAAAAGGCAGAAAAGCTGACCCAGACCCTAAATTCTGGGGTAATAAATCATCCAATTGAGGGTGGGGACTGCGAATTCAAAAATTCGGAATGCAAACGAAAACGATGAAAACGATATTGAAAAGGGTGCTGGTGGAATTTAAATGAAGGCTGCCATTCGCCTTCGACGCTTGTGGTCCTGGCTTCTCAACTCATCGGTCTCCTTTTCTCCGATCCTCTTGCAGAGAAGCGCGGCAAACACCAGGAGCGGAGGATCCTGAAGACCCTGCAGCCCGGCAACGTTTACATCGAGGAGAGCAACGCGGGACTGGGAGTCATGGGTGTGCGGGGTTTTTCCGGCCCCAAGGGTTGAGAAACCACAAAAAAAAAAAAAAAATAAATCAAAGGGGGGGGAAATACTTAAGCGACGATGGAGAAAGGATGGAAATTAAAAGAAAAATATATATGGAACGGATCCGGATGGAGATGAACTTTGTACAAACAGCCGCTTAAAGGAGCAGAAAACGGAAGGGAACCGAAAACTATTATTATTTTTTATATTATATTAATCTTATTCTTATTATTACGAGCTTTTTTTTTGTCCTAATATTTAATTGAATCGTTATGTTGACTTGTTTGTAATGCGCGGACAGATGATGCGGCAAGCGATGCGGCAGAATGTTTTGTACATAGAGATGAGGCATGTGGCATGTGGCATGTGGCACAACCAACCACCCACCACCACGTATTAATTAATTAACACGATTATGATTAACAAATTTTCTACTTAATGTAAATATTAAGGCGATCGAAACCCGCGAACCAAACGTAACGTAACGTAACGTAACGAACAAACGTAACGGAATGGAATGGAACGAAACGAAACCAAGCAATATCGGCAGCATATCAGCTACTATATATATCGTCTATATAGACCGCATATAGACGCGCGTATTGTCATCACAACCCGAATCCATATCCACGTAATATACATACACGTAACCAAGTTAAAATATCAAAACGAGAGCATTTTCCGGCTAGCTGCTACCGAGCTTAATCGAATTAACTGTAACTGTAACAGTAATGGTAACGATACAGATATAACTACTTATAATAATGATAATTAACGGATAACTATATCGATAGGGAGAAATGTCTATGTCCTAAGTGCTATCAGTGTGCAACAGCAATAAAAAGTTCTATGATTATACGAGATCCACAGAGTTTTCTCTTTTTTTTGGAAGGGAAACCAATGGGGTGTATGGGTGTACTATTATTTGTACAATAATTATAAACAAGGGAATAATGTTTGAGAGATTTGCTAAAAATTTGTACTAGCTAAATGTTTAAATTATAATTTGAACAACAAAAACAAACATATATTATAGAGTGAAAGCCACTCAATGAAAATGATAAATAAAAATACGCAGATTTCAAAAGTGTGCATTAGATTATTATTTTGTAAAAATATTAACATTTGTTATGTTAGGACATGACCATTTTTTTTTAATACTTTGTAAGGCATTGAAGCTAATTAAAATAATTTAATTGTCTGTGGACGGAAAATAAGCAAAAAAAAAACAAACAAAATGTTTTCGAAGAACCTTGAACAGTTAATTGCTCAACAAAGAGCCAACAAAAATGTTTATTTTTATTTTATTTTATTTAAGAAAAACAAAAACAGAATAGCGGCCATTTGCCACAAAGTATACAATATATGAAAATGTATTGTTTATTTTAAAAAACGGGCATTATTATTCGTAGAAGGAATTCATTAGAAAGAACTAGTTTTGTGAGATCTTGGACTTAATTCAAGTTATTTAGGTCTCTTCAAACCCCATTAATTTTTTTAAACCACCCAGTGCTTTTGTGGCCCCAGAGTGTCTGGAACCTCAGCATCGTCGGCATAATGGAACTGTCGCCTTGGAGCCACAAGCCATCTCCATACGAAATGTGCAGCGGAGCACATGATGTACTCATATGTAGGTGCTTGCATAATTGCTTGTCTTCGGATGCCAGAGATCTTTGCTTTTCCCCCCCTCCACAAAAACCAAATGGATGGGAACGCGGGCCAGGAAACGTCTTTCAGTGGAAACGAAAATGAAAATGGAAACAGAAACCCCCTCCCGCCATCCCCTCCGTGTTTTCCCCACCGTTTTGAGCGTTGGGTGCATTTGGCATTTGCATTTCTACAGAATTGTCTCCAAGTTAACATTGAAAATGGTCAGCGACGACAAACGGCAAACGACGTCGAATGGCTTTGCATTTATTTATGTTGCTTGTTGTGTTGTGCAGTTACACAATCCTAAGTGATGGCTGGCCATAATATTATTGCCTATAATATGTATTTGTAAATTGTAAATGAAATTCGTATAGTTGGCGACGTACCGACTGCGAAACGCGCAAAAAATTTCCAATGAAAAGCCAGCGTTTCCATCCCAATCCCCCAATCCCCCGAACCCCCATTCCCATTCCCCACTACATCCCCCCTCCTATTATCCATTATTGACCATTCCGCGCACGGAACCCGCGAGTTTCTGATGGGAGATTGCCCCCAGCCATGGGCTTTGATGGCCTGGCCAGCAGAAATTAATTAGCCGCGACGTGGCATAAATTAGCAACTGCCAACCGGCGGGCCAAAGAGTTCAGAGTCTAGTTGCCACTGGGGGAGAAGTCTGCCGGAGGCATCCCGAAAGATCTCCAGTGATCCCGACCGATCCAGCTGCACTCTGAAACTCAGTGGCCCCAAATCAAGGAGCTTGTTTTAAATAATGTATTTAAAGCCAAATTTTCTACACTTCGATGCATTTTTCTCTAGTTACGTTATTTATTACATTTTGGGAAACTTGACTTTAATTTAATTATTATTAGTTTTGAAATGGTCTCTTGATACAAACAATTTTATTTTAAATAAGGTACATTTTTTATATTTAGAAAAAATCTAAAATAAAAATGAAATTGTTTTTGAAATGTGTTTCACATTTTATTTTATTTTTGGTTTTAGAAAGTATTTGGCATGCTAGTAAATTCTACTTTAATTGTGTCACATTTTCTTATCTTTTGTAAAAAATTATACTAAAATTTATCAAACATTATTTTGTGTTTTTGCTTTCAAATAGTTTTTATATGAATCAGCAATTTCTGTTTTGTGTGTTTCATATTTTATAAACCAATAATGAGTTGTTTTTTCAATCCTCGACATTGAGTTATTTTTGAAAGAAATATTTTTGGAATTTCAGGGCTATTCATTTAATTATATTTGGGTGTCCGCTTTCAAGCGCCAACTCCTCGCGGCGCCTTTCAGTTCCGATTTCCGTTTCGATTTAGGTTTTCCAGCTTCCCCGTTTCCGATTTCCCATTTTCCCCCAGCTGCCGAGCGGCACATGCCAAACCCATTTGGGATATACTCGTGTGTATTTTATTTTTAGCACGCAACTGGATTGTCGCAGCTGCTCGGGATGCACTTGAGATGCAGATCGGTCGTAAAGAGCGGAAAGCGGAAGGAAGTGGGCATTAGCCGGAGATACTGAACGCCATAAAGCCATTCGGTGTCGGAAATTAATAGCCCATGGCTGCTCCACCCCCGTTCCCCCTTCCCCTTCCCTTCGTTTCACGTTTCTCCTCGCTTTTTTTTTTTTTTTTGGGGACGTGATTGCCAATTGCTCAATGAATCAAAAATAGCGCCACGAGTGCGGCACTTGAATGAGAAATATCGAATGGGGAGAACTGGAGAATCGGTAAGTCGGTGAATCGGAGAATCAGAGAATCGAGGGAGGAGGTGGGGGAGTAAATGAGGGGGGAACTTTGGAATGCGCACGTAGGTAGCTTTTGGCTTTCTGGCACTTGCCACTTGGCACTTGGCCATCGGGCAGTGGGCATTGGCAATGGCACAACCTGGCCAAATGCGGTCAACTTGGCATTTGATACGCTTTGCCGGCGCATTTGGACTTCGATTTCGACTTTAATTTGGCCATAGTGCCGGGTGATTGTGCGACTTTTGGCCCGTTTCCGTTGGCCGAGAAACGATTGCTGCTCACACTCGTCCACCGCCGGCGGAAATGCGAAACGAAAATTGCGAAACGATCGAGCGGCGATCGTTTGCTGGTGGTGGGTGGTGGGGGTATTTTTGAAAGGGGGAAAGCGGGTCTATGGGAAAAACAAACATTCGACGAATGTGCGGGAAAACCTCAGCGGAAAGCCGGTCGACAGGAAATGAGTTTTCCCCAACCCCTTTTTATTTTTTTTCAGGGCTAAATGGGCAGCAACAGGAAATGAGTGGGAAGTCCAGAAGAGATCTTGGAAAACAAAGCTGACGAGGGAGCTGGAATTGGATTTTGTTCAGCGAAGGAACTTGCAAGCATTGCAGCTTTTGCTTTCTAATGGTGTGTGTCTCCACTAAGGAGTCCTGCCGTAAAACGACCCACAGATGGCGCCAGACACACCAAAATGGGCCCAGGTTGCTCCTGCATTATTTGGTTCCACTTATGCTGTCGTGAATCATCTTAAATAAAATCCTTTTCTTTGTTAATACAAATTCCAAACAATACCATGAGTTAACATATTTTTTTGATTCATATTCCCGTAAATATTGAAGTTTAACACAAAAAGAGAATTATTAAAATAATTACCCGCTAACAACACAAGTTTTCCACATATTAAAAAAAAACTTGATTCAAAAATTTACTTGATATTTATTTTTAATTTTGTTTTCCCACAGTGCTACCTTTTTGTTTAATATATCTCACGTTATATATTTGTAAAAATTTTCCAGAGGGACAAAAATGGTTTCCTACTTTTAAGTTTAACAAACCCAGTAAAAAATAATTTATACAGATTTTAGCTCCGGTTAAATAAAATTTGCTCTATCTCATCGGAAATCTAAACCAAAAAAAATAATTGAAATTTCAAAGCTAAACACCTTTTCCCAAAAGTTGGTACTTTTTTGTGCAGTAAGTCGCATACCTGTTTCTTTTCTTCCAAAAGACTTTGGATTGGTTAGGTCCTGGCAAAACACAACTCTCAGACGACGCCAGGTGTTTTAAAATCAGTATTCTGCAATTCTGCTGTTGCATTGTTAGCAACTCTAACATTTTAGGTCTGACCCCCAAGTGCTCTGCTCCCAAGGATCCCTGTTTCCCCAAAAGTTGTGGAAACAATTGCACCCTCTGTCAGGACCCGATTCAAAGCGATTCGCTTTCCCGGGAGGCCTACCTGTGACCCCCCCGATTCCCCTTCCGTTTCCACTCTCCCTGCCACCTACTGGATACTGGCTGTATCCTTTTGTATCCTTTGTGTAATTGCAACGTTGCGGCACGCGAAATTAAACAGAAAGATAGCTCGAGTGGGTTTTCCACGGGAATTAAGGGGCGGCGAAGGTGAAGGGGCAGATAATGAAGCGGTCTGGGGTTGGGGGGAGAGGTGGAGCAGGAGATGGAGATGGAGATGGAGACCCACTGCTCGAGGGGCTGGCTAAATGGCGAAAGAATGACAAACGCCCAGAAGGAGCAAAAGTTTGGGCTCACCGGGAAAAGTGGCAGGAGTTGGGCGAGTTGGGAGTGTCATATCTCTGGCGTCGTCTATTGTTCCCAAAAGTGTTTTTATTTAGCTCGGCCAGCTCCAAGCTCCAAGCTCCAAGAAGTTTCAAGGCCTCGTTTTTCCCCTCCCCTTCCTCCTTACAACTCCCACCACCCCCAAAGGAAATTATCCCCCTCGACGACGAGGAGTCCTTGCCATTTGCACAGACTTTACGTTTGTTTTATTATCTTTTATTATTGCCTTAGCTGCTTTTGTCTAATTTCGCTGTTGTCTTTTTCTGGCTTTCTCACCTCTTCCCCACTTTTCCACCCACTTTCTTCCTCTCAGTTGCCACCTCGCTTTTCCCTGCCCCCGTCAACCACCTCCCCTGGTGCTAAATTGGCCGTTAAGATGCTAAAGATGCGGATTTCGGTGATTTAGCAACTTGGGAGCCCTCGTCTTCCGCTTTGCATTGTTGTCGTTGTCCTGCTTTTCGAGAGGCTACTGTTGTCTTAACCGAAATTCGGCTTATATTTAATACATATCTATTAAAACCCTCGTAGAAGGTGTTATAATTTCGTTTGCAAGGAAGGAAGGGGTTCCTAATTTGGGTTTTAAACCACCAATTTAAATAATGGTGTATTGGAAATATGTAAGTTTAAATTGCAACGCTATAAAACAATATTTCCAAAAGAAAAGTGCGAAAAAATGGAAAATCGATTTTGTAAAAAATTCAAGGGGGACCCCCACAAAAATTTATTTTCTGAAATTCGCTGAAATCTTGCCTTCAACCTTTGCGCAATATAGTTTCTTCCTAAGATCGCCTTATCAAGTATTGTCTTTGCAAACAAAATCTAAACATTAATTTTTTAGCCATTTTTCCATTTTACAATTCTTAAAAAATGGAAAATAAAAATCCCAAAATTAATTGAATACATTTTTATAATGATGCAACTCGTAAAACGACAAATTCCATTTAACGCCTTTTTTGTTCAGTCGAATATATATTTTCCCACATTGCTAGAAAGTCTTAATCTGTTGTAAAATATCCGTTAATGTTTTTTTCCTTCATAGCCTGTGTCCTTTTTGTTTCCATTATGTCCTCGCCGAAAAAGGATTCCCCTCCCTTTGCTTTTCGATTTGCTTTCCATTTGCTTTGTTTTATTTGGCTTTGTTCGGATGGCTCCTTTTGGCCAAGAAGTTTGCGGCGGAAATCGCGCTAATTTGCGCCGCCTGCCACGCCCCCTGCGCTGCGGTGGGCGCCTTCTAGTTTTGGGCCACATAACGGTAGTTTGCGGCAGGCCGAGGACAGATGGGATCGGATTGATTGCGGCGAGACGCGGAAGTGGATGCGGATTGCGGATTGCGTATGGCAAATGGCGAATGGCGAATCGTGTTCGATGTTTAGTGTTTGGGGTTAAGTGGTTTTCGAGGGGAGGTTGGGTTATAGCCCGATGTCCAGGTGTCCAGGTGTCCTGTGAGCATCCTGCACTCCCCCCTTTTGTATTTCCCTCTCTTTTCTGCATCTCCTCTTCAGAGGAAGGTAGCCATTTCTCGCTCTCTCCCTCTCCCGCTTTCAAATAGGCTTCATTAGCTGCGTTTTTCTGCGGGCTGCGCGTCCTTTTCGTCCTTTTTGCTGACCCCGCTCCGAGTCCATCCGTCCAACGCCAATGTGACGGTGTTGATTTTCACACAACGCAGCGTGAAATTAGAAATCAACAACATGTCCTGTCAGTGGCACTGCACCAAAGTGAACCGAATGGCGGGGGTCATCATCCAGGATGCTATTGGGGGGGATCCTGGCGAGAGGTCAGGTGTCAGGCTATTTGGCAAATCAGTTTCGTCTGCCAGCGCTGCAGTTTCGAGGGCTCCTGCATTTTGCGGTTGCCGTTCATCGTTGGCCGTCTGCCGTTTGCCGTCTGCCGCTGACAGACCAAATTAAAATGTCCCCGGCTGCAAGGACCTCTCCTCTTCTCCCTAAAAACAAATGCGGAGGATGTGGAGGATGGCCTGTCTGCGTGTCACTTAATGACCAATTTGCCAGAGCTCGTCGAAGCGCCCACAGCTGTCGCATTTTGCATTTCGCGCTGCGGCTTTCAATTCACAGTTTGACTTTCGCCGCGATAAATCTCCAAGTCACACAAAAATTGGCAGGCATACAGAACAAGAGACGCACAACAAATCTTAAATGATAAGCACAACTGACAAGGACATCGCCAAGGAACAAGGAACATGGAGAGCGAAGGAGCCACAATCGCTAAGAGAATTACAACATGTCGCAGTTTGTTCCAAATTTGAATAAATTTCAAATTCGTCGCCAGGCACAAGTTCTCCCCCCGCCCATTTGGGTTCGCCCAAAAAGTTTGCGCCCGGCTACAATTAACTTTTAAGTATGCCATTTCACAGATACCGCAGATATCGCCGCGATATAAAAAGCTGTATGCAAAGTCCTGCATCCCCCGCCGAACTTCCGCGGAGGGGTGGAAGTTGCCAGCAGCAGTTGAGGAATAATTTCCAGCAATTTATCATGTCACAGCGAGCACAACAATGGAACCGGATAAACAGAGGGGATCTCCGAACTGCGAACACTCTGATTTTTGTTGTGTTTAACCAGTTCGTAAACTGCTTACCAGATTTAATAATATTTGGCATGATTTTTCGGTGACTAGCGAAAATAAATTTGTATATAAGTTATATTATATTCCATTTTAAATATGTAATTTTTACTATCAAGGAAAAAATGATTATTTCATAGGTTTGCAAAATGATATGGTGGTTTTTACATTAGTGTTCATTAATAGAAATGTTGCCACCTCATATTTAATTAATCAACACTGAAAACTCGTGACCCTGTAATTTCCAAAACAAACATTAATCCGTTGGAAAGTTTGTGTATTCTTGGAAAATTAGTGTTTAAAAACGAATTCGAACTTGAATCAAAATTCTTCTTATTCCTTTTACTATAAGTATTAAAAACAGTTTGTTTGCTGTATTTTAAATAAATGCTACACTTGTTTGTAGCAAAGCTTCAAGTGGAGATTTCTTTAATATTAACGTGACTCTTCAAAAGAGTATTTAAACCAAAGTGCGTGCGATTTCCGTTTCCGCTCCTGTGGCAGCCATAACGAATTTTTGCATAAATGCCACGGGGGGCGGGGGCGGCGGACTTAGACAAAGACAGCTTGTTAATCGCCGGCCATTTATCTAGCTTAATGAAATTTGCGAGAAATCAAACCGGGCGGCCCTTTCTTGGCCGCTATTAGGCCGCTTAGCCACAAGCGGCAGACCGATGCCATTGAAATCTGGCGCGTCACGTGGCACATTCCCCATTCAGGACCACGTGCGCAATTAAATTGACGCGCTCTTGACGGATTCCCCTTTTGAGATGCTAAGGACCAACCGGGGAATTGGCCATCAAGTGCGGTCGGGGTCGCTCGTCACTTTCCAACACTATTAATCAAAAGTCTCCCAGATGATGTTGTGTTATCGCTTGATTTTCTTCAATGCAGGTAGGCTTTGATATTGTATTCCTAATGCCTGGAAGCCTTACCCCATACATAAGGTCAGTTCTATTGGAGCTCCGGCAGTGTGAGCATCGAAAAAAATTGTGAAAAAAATTATAAAAAAAATAAATTAGAAATTTCTAACGAAATTTTCTCGCAAGTAAACATTGATTGGTTCTAACCTTTCGTGGTTTATCGTCAGGTGAGTTCTCCTCCTGTTTTGCACACTATCGCCCCTGAATGTCCTCCTGTCCTGTTCTGTCCATGTGCTCCTCTTGCTTTTGCTCTTCCCCTTGCCCCTTTTGCCACGCGTAACCGTAACTAAACATTTGCATTAGGCGTCGTGCCACAGAAACCGCTAAAACGGTCAGCGGCCCACGAAACGCAAACAGTTTAAATGACATCTAGCGGGGATCCGGGGGCATTTGGGATTGGCAATTGGGTTTTTGCCTGTCGGTTAAATAAATTTTGTGGCAAATCGCAAAATCTGCGAAAGGGCAAGCCCTGCTGCAGCACCATGCCACTTTGCCACTTTTGCCGCTTTCGCCGCTTGCCGCATGCCGCAATTGGCAATCGACGCCGCAAATCGCGTTTTAAGCCCTGCGTGCGATTAGTTTAATTGCCAAAAAGGTCGAGGGGCAGTGGGCGATGGGCGGCAGCATTGTTGGTGCAACAGGACAATGCAACATTTGCATAGCGGTCGGCTGTGGCACTCGCGCTTAATGCGAAAATAAGGATTAACCAATGAAATTTATAAATGCGCCACTCCAGCCGGGTCCACTGCAAATTGAGTGCATAAATTGGCCGCATCGTCCGTTCTGACCAAGGGAAACTGGGAGCCAAACCAAAGGGAAAAGCCAAAGGGAAGGCACAGGGACAGGACAGGCAATCTATTTTGGATTAAATCAAATCGAAATAAACGATTTTTAATGGCCCGGCTCCCTTGTTCGCTGTGTCTGTCTGCTCCGTGTGGCACAGTGGCAAAAACGAGGTCATTAATTATTTCTTCAAAAGCAAAAGATAAGCCCAACCGGGCAGAGGACTCCATTCCCATTCCCATTCCGAATCACCGGAATCTCCAACTCCTCCAGGGGTTCGCATCCTTTTTGGCGTGGTGTGTCATTAGCTTAAAACCGTAACCAGAAAGGACTCGCAGCAGCAGTGCAGGACAATGGTCAGCCAACACACAAATACAAATACACAAAGATACAAACACACAAACATACACACACACACACTGACATACAGGAACGCACGCACGTTATCCTCGACGGCGGCCGCATGTGGCAGCAAAAGATTAATTAATCTTTAAGGACTCATTGTGTGCTGTTTTTGCCACTGCTCTGCACCCACACCACACTCGACTCATTAGGACATTCGGACAGGACATTTGCATGTGCAGCCACGCAAAATGAATTTATAGCCTGGCCAAAAGCGAGCAGGGATTTTCAGCAGGCAGGAGCAACCAGCTCCAAACTGAATCAAGGATTTCAAGGATCTCCTTACCGCTAAGCTCGACATTTGTCACACAGTTTCTGGCCCTCGTCCTCTGGCATTTATTTTGATTAGCCATTGACATTCATTTCTATTTGTTGCTTCTTATCGCAAGCCTCCCCATTGTCCTGGCAGGATGACCAGCTAATCCAGACACACGAGGTTAGTTTCCATCACAAAAAGCAGCTCCCGGATTTCGGTGGCATGCCACACATTGTTCCCTGCCCCGGGAATTCCGCCTCGAGCTTCGTTTGTCAAAGTTTCACCTATAAAATATTTACTGCTGATTATTTGGCCAGGTTAATGCTGGATAGGAATGGAAAGGGCTTCTCCTTCGGCATTAAGTGGAGCGCAAAAGTTATCCTTTGATGCGCTCGGGTCGCATTCCCTCTAATTTATTAGCCGGCACACGTGAATTATTGCTGCGTCTGAGAGTTTTCAACCGCTCGACTTTGACTGGCAACTGGGAATTGTTGTGGCCCCAATTTGGGGAGGAGCTCACCAAAATAGCACCAACTATTTGAGGAGGGAGTGGAGTGGGATGCTCCACATCCCACTTTGACAGGGAATCTGGCTTAACTTCTGGGTTGGGGACATCTTTTGCCACAAGTTCTGGGAATTATAATTATTTTCGGTGGCGGAATACATTTTAGATTGCCTGAATTTATGGCTTAAGGCTTTCGTTTAAAGTTAAAGAAATTATGTTTAAATTGTGCTTTAATAGTCTCTATTTTAAAGAGGCAAATGGAATATTAAATTAAAATTTTTAAAATAATTATTTGTATTTATTGACAGAATATTAAATATTATATAATCATATTCATATAATGTATACGATTTTAAAATGGTTTTTAAATTGTTTAAGTACTTCAAAGTACGCAATGATTAAATATTTATATTTCCGAGAATGGGTTGGTAAAATAGGTACCTTGTTCAAAGGTATTGGGTTTAAGACACTTCTTAACAATATATTTTTAAAATTAAAATGGTGTTTAAAGAAATCAAAATCAGAAGTAACTTCACATACATAAACTCCGAAAATTAGCTAATTAACGTTTAAGTTTAGTAACCATTTTTTTTTTGGGTTCTAAGGTTGCGAAAGTAAAACAATTTTGAAAGCAGTTTAGTATGTGCTGCCGTAAAAGACGCGACCCTGAAGGTATATAATTCCAACTTCTAACCATGAGTTACGTTTCCCCTTCTCGGTTAATGTGAGCCCGGCTTAGTGGCCCCCCTGCTCTTCCGCTTTTCCGCCTCTAATGGCCCAAGTTTGCGGAACGGAAACTAGACAAAAACGAACGGAGACAGACTGACGGACGGACAGACAAACGGACGGACGGACAGACGGGCGGGCACACGTGGAATGTGGAAAGTGGAAAGCCAAAGGAGTTGCGGGCTGTTAAAATGATTAATGATGTGTGTGTGGCATGTACGTTAACGCCTCGCGAAAGGAGCAAGTTACCGGGACAGATGTTGTCATAAATAAAAAGAAGCTGAAAAGAAGATGAAGATGCCCACGGGGGTGAAGCCTGGGTGGTTGGGCGTGGATGTGGGTGGTTAGATGGGCTTTTGTGGGGTGGTGGCGCGGCGCTACATGTAAATAAACATACATGTGTGCGCAGTTATTTATGCATGTGTGGGCGAGAGTCTGTTTGGGGCACATTAATGTCAAATCAGGCGCATAAATTGCGTAAAACGCTCAATTTATTTAACGAAGCATGCTCAACGGGGGCGTGGCCGTGACAAGTGTATTTGCCAGTTAATAAATGTCGCAATCACTGGGGAGCACTCCCCGCATCCAGGGATCCGCGGATCCACCTTCGCAAAAAAGAGAGGGGAGGCGGAGTCGAAGGACCTTCGACGACTAGCTGATTGCATAGCTAAGTGCGGACTTCGACGCCTGCCGCATCCTTTCGCTGTAGATGAAGTGTCCTTCCATCGAGGATATGTTCCCCTCTTCTTTAAAAAAACCCCACACTCCTCTTCGCCTCAAGTGGCAATTGTTCAATTCAGAAATTGCCATCAATCGATTTGGCTTATTGTGCCCGAATCGTGGTGCTGCTGCAGCGGAATAGTGACAAAGGCAATCACAACAGCGCCGATTCAGATATGCCTGGCCAAAGGGCTCATAAAAATTTTAAATCGCTTTCCCAGCAGAGTGGACGGGTCACATCGACCAGAGGGTTACCCTGGAGTTCAGGGATAAGGATAAAGGAAACTCTTGAACTAGCAAATATGTGTGTTAAAGAAGTTCAGTACATATTTTCATCCCGGTTTTATATGAAGTTATAAAAGGAAAGATTACAAATTTGTAAAAATGGTTCAATGGTAATTCATTTACGGATCAATGGTAAACTATTATTTATTGGGGAATAAATTAGTTTCCTAATTTTATAGAATTCGACAAAAGATTTCTAGGACAATTTCCATTCGCATACTTCCCAGTTTTTCCCAGGATTTGCTTGTTTCGCGTTTTGTTTCGCTCCTGTTTTGCAATTGCATGGAGTTGGGAGCACGAAGGACGAAGGACGTGCCCAGGCTCTCTATCTTCGCATGTGTGCGAGTGTGTGCGTCTGGGTGTGTGTGTGTAGGTGTCAAGGGTGCTGTCCTGGCCGGGAAATCCCCACCCTGGGCGGGATTGCATATTTTGCTGCCTCACGAACATGAGCGCTCGTTAAACGGATGAGTTAAAAGTCAAAAGCCCTAAAGGATTTTATTTGAATTGCGGTCTGCGTCGCGCCGTTCGACGTCTCTCCTCCGGGAGCAATGCCTCCTCCTCCTCCTCCTCCATTTTGCTCCTTGCTCCTGAATCCAGAAATCCTTTTCCCCCAACCCCCCGCCTCCTTTCGCCCCTTTGTGTGCCATGTTTTATTTAAAGTTTATCTTCGCCATCCTTGCCTTGCTTCACGCTAATTTCGCGCCAAGGCGAGGCAGTAAAAAATATGCGCAAAATAAAATGTGGAAAAATATTTTGGCGCAAGATGAGGAGAACAAAAAGGGTTTCGCTTCGCTCCGTTTCGTTTTCGTCGGCACGTCGCCGTTTCAAAGCCGTGTTGAAAAATATTTGAAATAATTGCAAAAATGTTTTTTCACAGCAGCAGCAGCAGCAGCAGCAGCGAAAGCAAAAGCAGCAACAATACAGACGAAAGGAGGCGGAGGAGGAGTAAGTGGGCGTGGCAGGGACGTGTGGGCATTGTCTTGAAGTGCAGATCCCTTTCTGCTTGGAGATGCGAAGCACGTCCTTTGACAACTGGGGATAAGAAGACCTGATCCCAGAATCCTTTTCCAAAAAGAGAAACGCTGAAACGTAAGCGTTTCCCTTCCAATGTAATCTGATTTAAAATCCTTAGCTCTCTGGCTTTCCAGCATGAGTGAACCCATGGAAATAGACACCAGCGATGACGAACCGTCAAAGAACGAAGAAGATGACAAGTTTGGCGAAGTCCTGGCATCGAATTCGGGTGAATCCGATCCTTCCGCCGATCAGGTTCCCGAAAGTAAAGTATTACTTGCTATGGAACCCAAACATGAACCACCACCAAAATTGGATCCTGATACAGGACCTAGTTTAGAAGTAGAAGCGGATCTACAAATAGAACAGGGATTAGATTTAATACTACAAATAGAAGAAGAACCAGGAGACAATGCGGAATCTGGCCCTGAAAAGATAGTACCAGAATCAGAACTGCAACTGGGATCGAATCCTGTAAAGGAATCTGTGCCAGGTCTACAACGAGAATTAGTGCCTTTACTGCCAACAGATTTCAAATCACAGCTAGTACCTGATTGTGAATCAGAAGCCGCCCAACTATTAAGAGAATTTTTGACCAATTTCACCCCTGTCCTAGAATCCGAAACAGACTTTGTTCCCGAATCACAAGAATTGCAAACCCAACCAGTTTCAAAACTGGAATTGGGATTTGATTTAGTAACAGAATCTGAGCCAGGTCTCAAACAGGAATTGGAACTGGAATTACGTCCACTATCGGAATCTGATGTGGGCTTAAAACTAGATATTGTGCCTTTACTAGAAATAGAATTTAAGTCACCGCCGTTACCTGAATTTGAACCAGAGTCTTCCAGCTTTTTAATAGGATCTGGACATGATTTTAAGCCCGGACCAGAATCTGCACTAGATTCCCAGCCGTTAATAGAATTAATAGAATTTGGACCAGAATGGCAGCCTTCACTAGATTTTGCACCGGAATCTCAATCTCAACTACCAGGATCAGCACCTGAATCTGTAGTGGAATTTCTACCATTCCTAGAATCTGGACTGGAATCGCTACTATTATCAGGACCTGGAGTGGAATCTATACCATTACCAGAATCTGGAGTGGAATATCTAACATTACCAGAATCTGGACCGGAAACTCTAGAACTACCAGAATTTGGACCAGAGCCACAGTCACTACAGGAATCCTTACAGCAATCTGAGAAAGAATTTCAGCCTTTACCGGAATCGGTGAGGGGCTTCCAATCCCTACCAGAATCTGAATCAGAGTCCCTACAAATACTAAAATCTGGTGCAGAACTACTATTTCCTGAAATCGAACTGGAAACTCTACAATTACCAAAATCTATGCCTGAATTGCAGTCATTACAGGAATCTGAAAACATTTTCCAGCCTTTAGGAGAATCTAAAAAGGACCTACAAACTTTACAAGAACATAAAAGGTTCTTTTCACCTCTACCAGACCCTGAAATCTGCTTCCAATCTTTAGCAGAATCGAGATCGGAAACTTTACAATTACCAGAATTTGGACCGGAATTACAATCGCTACAAGAATACAGAAGGGACTTTGGGCCTTCACAAGAATTTGAAAAGCACTTCCAGCCATTCTGCGAATCTAGAAAGAACTTTCAACCTTTACCAGAATCTGAAGGGTACTTCCAATATTTACCAGAGCCTGGACCGCAAACGGAGTCAATACAAGTATCTGGAAAGGACATCCAGCTAATGCGAGAATCCGAAAAGGACTTCCAACCAATACTACAATCTGGAAGGTTCTTCCATTCTTCAGCAGAATTTGGGCAGGAAACCCTACAATTACCAGAATCTAGACCGGTATTACAGCCATTGCAAGAACCTGGAAGGTACTTAACTCCTTTACTGGAATCTGCAGAGGAATCACGGCCAATTCAAAAATCTGAAAAGGGTTTCCAGCCTTTACGAGAACCTGGAAAGGACTTCCAACCTTTACCAGAATCTTCAGGGTACTTCCCACCTTTACCGGAATCTGTAGCGGGATCTCTGCCATTAACACCAGAATCTGCAACCGAATCCCAACCAGGATCACAATGTGAACCGGTAAAACAGGCATTGCCAGAACCTAAGGCGGAATCCCCGCCATTACCAGAATCTGGAGCCGATTCCCAACCTTCATCAGAATCTGGAGTGGAATTTGTATCATTACCAGAATCTAGAAAGGAGTTCCAACCAATACCAAAATCTATAGTGGAACCTCTTTTATTACCAGAACCTAGGATTTATTCCCAACCTTTACCAGAATTTGGACCCGAATTCCAATCTTTACCAGCATCTATAAGGAAATCTCTATCATTGCCAGAATCTAGAGCCGATTCCCCAGATTTACCAGAATCTAGAAAGGACTTCCAACCTTTAACAGAATCTGGCGAGGACTTCCAAACCCTAATAGAATCCGAAAAGCTTTCCCAACTTTTGCCGGCATTTGTAGCGGAATATTTACCATTCCCGGAATCTGGAAAGGTTTCCCAAACATTTCCAATATCCGAAGTGTTATCACAGGATGTACCAGAATCTGCAACAGAGTCACGACCAAGACTTGAGCATAAATCCAGATCGGTCGGCAGTGCGAAGAAGGCGTCGCCAAAGGTGGAGAAGGCCTCCGTGGAGACACAGATGTCGCCGGATGCGCCAATCTTCTATCCGAAGAGCAGCCTGCTGGCTCGCAAGCGACAGGAGCGAAGTTCCGGCCGTTTTCCCCATGCCCGTGGGTCCTTTGCCTTCGGCTTGAGGAACGGAACCGGTCCGTACATCGGTCCAGGAAGTGATATTCCGCGGAGCTACTTTTTCCGCGATCCCACCAGCGGAGAGCGCAACAACAACAGCTTCGGCTTGGGAATGAGCACGGAACGACGGGAATCGAGTGGATCAACGGTGCAGCAGGAGACGCCACTGGCCTGGGTTCCCTGCTCGTATGGAAGACCTCGCATCCGACCGGAGGTCCTGGAGGAGATGCAGACCTCGGCTTCCTCGGATCGCTCGGCCACCGCCACAAACAACCGTAATTTGCAATCGGACACTACTAATACAAACACAACGGGCACTACAACCACAGATTCGGAGACCGGGAATTCCAACGAATGTCCTTCCTACGAGGCCTTTGTCGCCCAAATGGAGGCGATGGGCATGGCGCACGACGAGTTCTTGGGAACGCTAAGGAACCTGCTGATCCGTGCCAACGATCTGATCGCACCCCTGTTCCATGGGAACCTGCGAAACATGACGCCCACACAGATGGCTGCCTACACCACGGCGATCCTGGACACGCCCCCATTGCATCCGAGTCTCTTCCTGCCGGCGGTAAGATCTTTTTCAACTAACATGATAAGCTCTACACTAGATTCATATTTCAAAACTCGTTCCAAAATTCCTTTCCTGTCACTTTCCACATTCGATCGCCAATAACAAATCACTTTGCTGCTGCTGATAAAGTTCGAAACTTTTTTTTTGTTGTTGTGTAACATAGTAGTTCGAACTTCTAAGCAATGGGAATTACAGGATCGAAAATGAGAGTATGAACGCGAGAGGGAAAAGAGGAATGAAAAACAGAATCTAACAAAAACAAAAAAAATTACTGTTTTTTTTTTCTAAGTTATCAATTTCCAATAAATATTGTCGGATTTTCATACATACAATACATACATGCATAGATACCCTAGAACGCGTTAAACAAACATTTCAGAGAGTTCGAAAGTTTCGAGAGGGACTCGCGGGGAAATCCATGGGAAATTGATTTGATAAAGTAATATTAATTTTCATATATAATTAATATTACTTTATCAAATCAGCAATTACAATACAATAACATTATAGAGCACTTACCAATGACCGTTAATCCTGCAGGGTTATCCGCGTGCCTGGGCAGACGCCAATGGTCTCAGTTTGCCCTTCGATGTCCATCCGAACAGCTTGACGCCCGAGGATCTGGCCCGCGCCCAGGTAAGTGGTTGCTATTCCTCGGAGGAGTCATACTTCCCCTCCGGAATTTTGACAGGCGGCGTCCAAAATGGTGGATGCCAGCACCCAGACGGATTGGCGCTGCATGCTCATCCCGCCGGGAGGATCCGTTCCGCCCCAGGCACCGGCGGCCTATTACTCTCGACCAGCAATGTTTGACGTGTCGCACAATGGTTCCCGGATGCCGTCGCCCGGAGGAGTGCACGTGGGCCAAGTGATGCCACCTCAGGCTTATCCACAGGGATCGTCACACGTGTCGCCGCAGAGTGGACCGCCACCACAGGCGCAATTCGGTTTCTGGGGCAGACCCGTGGGTAAGTGGTGGGGTTTTTGATAAACAACTAGGGAAGAATAGATCCTTTAGTTTGTGTAGTATATCAAATCTTGCTCTAAGATCTATAATATCTCAGTTAATTTAAGGAATTCAAAATAATAATTATTTGTCTAGGATTACTAAAAATATTATTATTATTATTATCTATTTTTAAACGCTTCGAACCTAGGGTTAACCTCTGTAATTTCTTTGCTTCAAATTTAGTTGACTTTAATCGGATCCCCATAATCTTTTCTAATCTTTCAGCTGTGCCGATGCGTCCACACCAGGTTGCGCATCCACAACAGCATCGCATGCACCAGCAACATCCGCGTGCGCACGCCGCCTTCCAGCATCAGCAGACCCATCCGCAGGCTCATCAGCAGCCCCATCATCCACGAGCTCATTCCCAAGTGCATCCGCAAGCTCATCCACAGGCTTATCGGCAGGCCCATCAGCACCAGCATGCGCACCAGCAAACTCATCCACAAGTTCATCAACAGGCTCATCCGCAAGCTCATCCGCAGCATGTTCACCACCAAGCTCATCCGCAGGCTCATCAACAGGCCCATCCGCAGTCACATCACCGAGCCTATCCGCACCCACATCCGCATCCGCATCAGCAAGCTTATCCGCATCATAAGCCCGGGTTGCAGCAGAATCCACCGATGGCAGCGGCTCCACAGCCACGCAAGTTGGGCGGAACACTGCGTTTCCCGGAATCGGGACGCTATGGCCAACGGTCGAGCAGTCCGGATGACATCGAGTGTCCATTTGGGGCAATCGGCAGTGGACGACCCAGTGAGCGGAATTCCCAGAACTCGGAGAATCAGGGGAAAAGCTTTGCATTCGCCGGGCCAAGTGGAAGTCGGCAAATGGGTGCCAGTACATCAGCACATTTGGCCGCACAAAATGAATTGGAATTGCAGTTGAGACTGAATCTGGATCAGCTGAGCGATGAGATCAACACGCGAGGATCGAGTGCCGCCAGAAGGAACTACTCGTCGCGCACCGAGAATTCGGTTAGCGAGAACTCCAGTTTTCGGATGAGAAACGAACTGATGCAATCGGAGCAGCAGGGAAGCGAGGAGTCCAGTTACAGCGACGAGGAGGAGGACGACTCCGAGGAGGATGAATTCGATGAGGAGGACTACGACGTGGGTAAGGATGATGATGAGGAGGAGAACGAGGAGGAGCAGGATGCCGATGCCGATGCCGAGGACGTGGGAACGGAGGAGTGCGCCGGGGAGGAGGATAATCAGCTGGGCACCACGGATTCCCGTCCATTTTGCTTCGGCGAGGTGGAGTTCTTCAACTACATCATGTCGGGAACTCCCGCGATGAATACTCCTTCCCAGCCGAGTGGTGCCGCTGCCTGCATGGAGCAGGGGTTGCCAACCACCCCTCGTGAAAACGTGCCCACTGCCCAGGTGCAACCGAATGTGATGCCAAGTCATTTTCAGGGTTTTCTCAACAACAGGGAGCAAAAGCAACAGCAACAGCAATCGCAGGGAATCTCACAGGGAAATGGTGTTGGATTCTCACAGAGTGGAGTACCCATTGGGGTTCCAGCGGGGGAGGCACAGCAGTTCAAGGAACCATCATCGATATCGCGGGAGCAACAGCAGTTCAACAACAAGCCCTTCAACTTGGCGCAGTTGATCAAGCAGCAGCAGCAGCAACGGCAGCAACTGCAGCAGCAGCAACTGCAGCAGCAACAACAGCAGCAGCAACAACAGCAGCAACAACAGCAGCAGCAACAGCAACAGCAGCAACTACAACAACAACAGCAGCAACAGCAGCAGCAACAACAGCAACAGCAGCAACTACAACAACAACAGCAGCAGCAGCAGCAACTACAACAACAACAGCACCAAATACAACAACAGCAGCAACAGACACTGCAGCAACAGCAACAACAGCAGCATCAGCAACTACAGCAATTTCAGCAGAAGCAACAACAGCAATTGCAGCAGGAGCAACAGCAGCAGCAACTCCAACAGCAACAACAGCAGATGAGATCCACCAACCAGGAATACAATCCTGCGGCAATAAGCCAAGAGTCGGCTGGCAGTAATGCCAACGTCTATGCGAGACCTCCTGGAAGTCCGGCACCCCAGCCGCATCCCAGTGCTCCTGCTCCTGCTGCTGTGCACCAAACACGACGGGAACGCCCGATGGCTCCAGTAATCTTCGAAGTGGGCGGCAATCGCAGTCACCAGAACGCCTCGCCCATGATGATGCAGAGTGTGAATGCCGAGGGACACGGAGGTGTCCGTGGAAACGGTCAGGGTCCAAGCACAAGTCGGGGTCACCAACCGCAGCAGCAGCAGCAGGCAGTGTCTGTCAACGGCAACGTGCCACAGAATTTGGTGCAGATGCGAGGTTCTCCAGTGAGTCACATGAACCAAACCAACCAAATGAAAAATGTTAACCAAGTAAACCAAGTGAATCAAATGAACCAACTAAACCAAGTGAATCAGGTGAATCAAATGAACCAATTGAATCAAATGAACCAATTGAATCAAATGAACCAAATGAATCAAATGAATCAAATAAACCAAATGAACCAAATGAATCAAATGAACCAAATGAATAAAATGAACCAAGTGAATCACTTGAATAGAGGAGTGGGCGTGGAACTGCTACCTGTGCCCGTACAGATGAGTGGCCCAAATCGATTGGAACAGTCCAACTTGCAGCAGGCTAAAATACAGCAGGCTAGCATGCAGCAAGCCAACATGCAGCAGACTACCATGCAGCAGACTACCATGCAACAGGGAAATATGCATCAAGGAATGCAACAGGGTATGCAACAAGGTATGCAACAAAGAATTGAACAAAGAATGCAACAAGGAATGCAACCGGGAATGCAACTGGGAATGCAACCTGGGATGCAAAAGGGTATGCAACAAGGATTGTCACAGGGATTGCCACAGGGATTGCCACAAGGATTGCCACAAGTAAAACAGCAGAGTATCCTCCCGCAAGGTATCTCACAAGGTAAACCACAGGGTATTTCCCAGGGTATGCAACCAGGAGTACAACCAGGAGTGCAACAAGGAGTGCAGCAAGGAGTACAACAAGGATTACAAGGAGTTCACCAAGGAGTGCAGCAAGGAGTGCAACAGGGAGTTCAACCTGGAATGCAACCAAGTATGCAACAGGCAATGCAACAGAGGATGCAGAAAGCTTTGACACAGAGAATCCAACACAGCATCTTACAGGGAATGAAACAGCAAGGAATGCAACAGGGATTACCACAAGGAGTCCAACAAGGAATACCACAGGCAATGCAACCAAACGTGACACAGGGAATACAGCAGGAGATGCAACCAAACATGCCACAACCCCAAATGCAGCAGGTCTCTCGGATGAGTCCTCGCCCAAATCCAACTGCGACGACCAACAACTACCACTTGAATGGCCACAATCCGGAGGTGATTGGCATGCAAGCCGTGGATGGTGGAGCAGGAGGAGTGGTCAGTAGACCCATTCCCGCTGAGATAATGCAACAAGCGGTGGTCGCACCAGGACTCGACTCTCGCCAGGATTTCCCAGCGAATCTGGGCAAGAAGAAACGCGGCAACACGCCACGCAACCGGGAATCTCCGAGGAACACGACCAACCAACCAAGCCAGGGTAAAGTCATTCCCAACCAGGAGGCAAATTCTTCCACCCAGCAGAAACCAATCCAACCATCTTACGCCTCATTGCTTCACAAATGAGGAAGGTGGTCATAGTTTAGTTGTTAAATTTAATGTTAACTTTATAAGACGGACGGATCTAAAAGATCTGCCCATTTTTGGTTACCAATTTCTAAATTTTATCCACTTTGCTACTACAACTTTTTTTCTTGTAAATAAAACACAAGCAACAATCGTTCGTTCGTTTTTCCCTCAACCAAAACCAAATCCAAATCCGAATCCGAGTACAACCCTCATCCGTTGGTCATTCCATATTCATGTAACGATGTGCGAATGGCAAATCGCGGCTTTAGCCATGAATTTTCTACTACCTTAAATCGGAATTCTGCCGGTGGGAGAAACGAAATGTGCTCACGCCGTGGAATTCTCAAGTGGGCCACACAAGGATGACGGAGGGTGGGCTGCGAACCCTTTGAGCCACTAATCGGGCTAATCTTTTACGCTGCCTGCATTCAAAAGCGTCCTTTGGCAGCCGCCTCAAGAGCGCGTCCTCCTCCCCGCACAAAGTATCCTGCGTGGATAAGCGAAGGACGAGAATGAGGAGCTCTGCCCTCCGTGCATTTCGCATGCATGCTTGCGGCTCTCCTCATGTGTGAACAAATGTAATTAAATGCAAGTCGCGGCGAATAAGTAAACAAACTTTTTTTTTTTTTATATTTATATATATTTAAAGAGGTCTCTGTTCCCTTTCCCATTTCCCACTTTTTTTTTTGTACGCTATTGGTGTTTACCCAACGCCCATAGTTTGACCAGACATTTAACGCCTTCCTGAACCTCAACCGCATTGGCTACATTTTTAATCTACAATTAACCACAGCTGCGGTGCAACTGGAACGGCAATCCGGAATCGGATGCCGGGCTAAGGGCACGGTGGGATCAAGGGGCAGTATCAATATTGATTCTATTAATTATAAAAACATTAAGTGCCGGCCAACAAATGTAATTAAACGCGTTAAACAATTGCAGAGAGAGTAATGGCAGTAAAAATGCAGACCGCCCAATCGAAAATCGGGGGAATCCCAATGCGAATCTGAATGCGAATCTGAACCTGAATCCGAACCCGAATCCGGACGGAGTCCATTCCAATCCGTCCGTTGCTGATGCGCGGCGATAAGCACGTTTTCAATTCAATTCGCACACCAAAAAGGGACGCCCGGCAATCCGGACAGGCCGGACAGGTGGCAACCGGAGAACCATCCAATCCGGGATGGATGGAGTGGAGGTGAGGTGATCGGATTGTCGCACATTAATGACGAAATTATTGTTTCAATTGCTTTCAACCGTTGTCAATGCAAATTTTATGCAAATACTTTGGCGATTTCGAGCCGGGTGCGCTGGCCTCGCTCTCTTAAATGCCATTGTGGCCAATAAGTCAATAATAATTATGGCCCGCCACCGCTGGTGTCCGGTGTCCCCTATCCCCATTCCCATCCATTATCCACTGGCCTCCAGTTTCCAGTTTCCCCTGCTCTTCAACCATTTCGAAATAGGCGTTAATTACTTTTATCTGGCCGCGACCAAACAAACAAAATAATAAAACTGCAACGGAACGTTTAGCGCCTACGGCCCATAAAATCCCCGGGCAATATGCATATTTATTTATAAACAATTAATATTATGGCCATTGTTTCTGGCCGAGGAGCACGGCCTGCGCATAAATTAAGCTCGCCCGGCCAATTGTTATGCAAAATCGTCACCGGGGAGAGTTCGCCTGATAAAGTCAGTCAGTCGATCTGGCATCGTCAATTGTCTGCGCCTTTTTCAGCTGCCCAAACCATTCAGGTGCTTTTATTTGGGTTAAGGTGTGCTCTCGACTTTATTGAATCGGGGAAAGATTGAGATACGAGGCGGAAAAGTATTCATATAATAAGTTGTTCCAACAATTTATTATGTTTTAGTACTGAGTACCACTTAGGTGAATGAAGTGGGTTACATTTCTAACCCAAGATAAATTATTGCCACGCTTATTAAGATCGTATTATAAAAATTGAATATATTTTTTATTATATTCTATCCCAACTATAAAAATTTAACGTTGTGTGCGATTTAATGTTGTTAAATACCATATTGTAATAACATATGGTTCTGCATTAAAGAAATTCGGAAGCATAATTTAAGAAAATGTTCGCTCACCTGATGATTAAAAAAGATCCACACGAAATCCTTAAAAATTTAAGTATTTGAAGTACAGTACTCCAACATTGTCTTATCCTTCTTAAGAATCAGCTTAATATGCAATATTCAATGTGTCTGAACTGAAAATTAAAAGAAAATAGTTGGAATCATAAAATATGAAAAGCTTTAAAGACATTAATCATGTATTACATTTACTGGGAATTTTAAAGATTTACCTTAAATTTTTTTTCAAGAAACATTGCTAGATATTCTCTTTGTTTCCACTATTTTTAGTCCCATCCAGAAATGTTTTTTAAACTAATTTATTTGCAATTTAAATTTCGCAGCACTTTGGTGAACGGGACTTGCAAAAGGTCAAGTGGGTGGCGATGAAGAAAGGGTTGAGTGCCCATCCTCAAGTGGCAAGAGTATCACCTCGCCCCGATCCACAGACTCCTGCGTGGGTCATATAATATAATTAATGCTATGAATTACTTGAGAGCGCCGCATCCTGCGCATCCTTGCGTGTTTTGCTGCGTTTATGCGGCAGCTATAACTCGATATTTGCCAGCCTCACGAGGCCTCAGCCACATTCCGATGGAGCGTGCGGCATGAACAGCAGCCAGAAAAACACCAGACTCGAGTGGCTCCCATCTCCGGCATCCTGTCCAGTCCAGGACTCCCCAGGTCCTGTCGCAGAGGGTCAGCTATCCTGGCCGGCGCTCGTTGGGGATATTCCAACACGTTGCTGCTTGGTCAGCCACATGCACTTAATTGCTTTATGAGCCGGTCACTCGCTCGTTATAGACTTCAATTTGATTTTTCTGCGAGGCGGCGCGCGTGGATGTGTGGCAAGTGGCAAGTGGAAAACGAGACGCTGGGGATCAATTAGTTTTTGGAGGCAACACTGCCGCTGGCGAGAGACGTCGCCATCGGTGGAGCCGAGCCGAGCCGAGCCGTTGACCCCAAATGATATTTTAAATGCAGATTTTGGCACCCGAAAGTTTTTTAATCATTCCGATGGCGCTCTCCATCAGCAAACCAGTTACGATGATGATGATGATGGTGATGCTGATGCTTCCGTTGCTCCTGATGGTAATGATAATTGTGATGAGGATCGCAGGATATGGCATTGCGACAAGGAGCACGTCAGCAGGTCCCAAGTTTTTAATGCCAGTTTCCGCGTACTTTTCCTACGAGGTGCGAAAAGAAATTGAGATTGTTAACTTTTGGCACTGATCGAACCCGGTTTACCCTTATCAACTCAAAAGGGTATTTACTGTATAAAGAAATGCAATTACCCCAAGGATACCCAGTGTTTCAGGTGGGTAAAACTTTGCCAGCAAGCTGGAAGTTTGTAATGGCTTTTTGTTTGCGACTCACGCACACAAATCATTGCCCCGCAACCCTTACTTTGTACCAAAAAAGAAAAAAATAGAAGGGGTTTCCATGGCAAAGTCGCTTCATACAAGATTTTTCCCCAGCATTCCAATTTCTTTATTTTGTCCGTCGAGTCTGAGGAGGATTCCCTTTTCGGGGTATGTGAACACTTAACATAATTTGCTGCCCTCCGGCGGAGAAACTGACCAGTGGCCAGGACAACCTGGTGGTCCATTCACATTCTGATTTTATTAAAATTGTTGCACATCATTTGATTTGATTCGAGGAATGCCTCGCAAGTTGGCTGCCTCTTTTCAGTCATTGAGCGAAAGTGGGATAGCGTAAAATTGGAAAGCGGAAAATGGAAAATGGTAACCATTGCCATGGCTGGCAATCTCCAATCTCCAAACCCCCTCCAAACCACTCACATTTATCCATATAGTACACGTATGTGGGGCATTAAGAACGTCCCACTCCTCCGAACTTAAAACTCGACTACATGGTATTTCCATTTTGGCACTTAAGCCAGCCAAAGTCAATTATAATCAACGCCTCCCCAGCAGGCATTTTCCGGCCAAGACAAAGCATCCCCGGCGCAGAAAGGATTAAAAGTTATCAGGACGCGGCGGGCATATGTGTGAGTGAGTTGAACTTATGCAAAATTGTTTCAAGACTTTTGGCTGATTGCCAGCCGAAGTAAGGTGGGTTTTTCATTTCTTTTTGGTGGGGTTACTCCTTCCCCTTTATCCGCTTGGGGATCCATGGGATCCATCTCTCATTACCGTCCATAAATATGCCACAGAAAGTGTCGGCTTTCGCACTAACCGAACTGGGATGCAGAAAGGACTGGCAGATGTCCTGATATCCACCGCAAACTTAATTGCTTTACTCCGGCCTCGGACTTCTTAATGCTCCTGCTCCTGGTCCACTTCTCCACTTCGGAGCTCCACATTCTGCGCTCTGCATTCTTATCGCGCTGTGGCCCAAAAAGCATCAAGCATCCAAGGACTCGGACTCGGACTCCAATTCGGACTGGGATTCGGTAGCAGATTCAGTTTGTGTTCTTGTTGCGGTCTGTGGCACGCAAATTATATGCAAACGAGCTTAATATCCGGCCAAACAGAGTCACGGCACACACGCACGCTTCAAAAAAAAGAGGAGAAGGAGGAGGAGGAGTCCCTGGGATGGTTGTCCTGCTGGTCCTGGCCAGGATGGCTCGCCTCTTTTTGCCTTTTCTTGCCATTTAACATCAAGTTTCAGCGCATATAACTCACTCGCAAAACTGGGAAAAGCAGAGCAACCAGCAGTAAAAGTCCCCTGCTCCATGATTCCGGGCTCCACTGATAATTTCACTGCACTCCACTGATAACAACATTTAATTTAATGCCCGAGGTCAGCAATATTCCATTTATTATTGGATTAAATTCGGCAGCAAAAAGTTTTTTTGGCTCCTCCTGCTGGCTGGCCGGCAGGATGCGGATGCGGATGCGAATGCGGATGTGGATGCGGATGAGGTATGTCCACTATCAGTGAGGCTGGCGAGGATAAGCGCTCCCTGCAGGAATCTTGTCGAGCCTGGCTGTGCGGCTCCTCCATTTCCATTCCGTGCAAATAATTTATATATGTGTGTGTGTGTGTGGGGGGTGTGTGGGTGTGTGTGTGTTTGCATTTTTA